AATTTGTGCTAATGCTAGGTTAGAGAGATGCATTTTGGGTACAGGATATGAATCGTCGATTCATTCAAAAAGTGTTACAATACGGCGTAATAACGTAGTAACGTAACAGCGATAATGTAAATGTAACTAAACACAACCTATTAATACTTTATGGTACCTGATATTATTTCTTTTTTTTTTTTTTCGCCTCTTCCCCTTTGTACTTGATATGTTTGACGCACACGGATGATCCCGGTTTGCATACATCCCCCTCTGCTAATCCGTGATCTTGCTTATGTAAGAGTTTTGTCGATAACAGGAGGGAGAAAGATCGTAGTTAATATAACCCAGCATATGATCACTTGATTGAATATCAGTCATGAGATCAGAATAGGAACCAAAAGCGGGGTTGAAACTTGCGAGTAAAAATTACGGAAAATTTTTTTGAAACAAAATTGTATGAATGAAATTTTAGTGGATGTGTGATCCGCTTAGAGATATACGAGCAGATAACACGTGTACCTTTCAAATGTGACATGCTTTTATATGCAGTTAATGTATATCCTTTTCTTTTTTTACCCATTCCCCAATTTTTTATTCACATTCCGATCTTGCAAATATCTGCTCGGGTTTCTCCCACGCTGTCAATAAGCGGGGTATAGATATACATTTTTTAAACTCACTTTTGGTAATTCTCTTTTTTTACAATCCGCGTAATGTGTTTGGTATTAAAGATCAATGGTATCCATATACACACACAAACACAAACACACACACACACACACACACACACACACACACACGTACATACATACATACATACAATGCGATCTCTGGGCGTATGGTATCGTAAACTTATCGGATCAGACGTAATTGACAAAAATGACGTGAAATTGCATATGAGACACTAATGACGAAAAGACGAGCGTTTAGCCATGCAGGAGTATATTCTTGGATTCATTCATTGGTATTGGTTACGGCATCCTAACAATCATCCGTCATGCCTTGTCCATCAAATTCATTGTATAAATGTTAGCGTCAATAAGACTCACATGGGCAACGTCCAATTGCAGCATGTGAAAGTCACAATAACGCTGTATTTGATGCCATAAAGTAGCAGTCCTAAATAAAACATGTCATGATCATTCGTCATGAAATCAGGAGAGGGCAAGTTCAAAAATCGCTAATCCCTTCTATTTTCCCCATAATAAAGAGAATTGTTTACAAGTGATACGTATTTGTTTGTCGGAACGTTCTTACCTCAAACAGATTTTATAATACTGTTATTTATACAATGGACATGTGTAGCCTGAACAAAAAAAAAAAGAATTAAAATTTTTTTTCAGACGTTTAACCATATTTTGCATAGACTTTAAATTCTTTGATTAGCCCGTCGGGAATGAACCCCTGCAAATTATAATCGAACGTGACACATACGAGCCATGTTGAGACTCGTAATTTGTGAACGTAACCAGTTTATAATATTGGTATCGGTACTAGCGATAAATCGAGTATATAATTACGAATTGATAATGGTGTTTGAGTTTGTCAACTGTAAAGAAACCAAAACTTGCATATAAATGAATAAGATAAATATGTAACATGAAATGTCAAATGTTAAATCTCATTGTCAATGTCGTTACTTCATATATCCTCTCCTTGTTCCATGTGGCAATTAAATCACGATCATGGAGTAATACCTTTCTTTATTCCATATAATCGGTATTCTCATTCAATAAAGCTAGAAATCAGTTATAAATGAACATTTAATTTATATTAACACGAATAATTATATTTATTGTATTGTATTTAGTTTATATCATTTTAGCATCATTTTTTCTTTTATTCTGCGACAATTTTAATTAGTGCCATCGATTTTTCATTCGATCCAATCGTACAATTCGGACAGTTCCGTTATTTGAATCGAGTCATCAGGCATTTGACGTCAATCATGTCATGCAGTTTGACAGCTTTTTGGTAACGCCGACAAGGAACTGTGTAAAACAACGTGGAGTAATAGGTCCTATCAAGATTTGCGATGACAACGAGGGTAGTGAAACTGTGGGGGAGGTGGGCGAAGGCGGAGAGAGGAGGGGGAAAGAGAAAAAAAAAAGGGGGGGAGGGAGGGCAAACAAATACGCATGCACCGAGATGGTTTAATAAAGTGAGACATGGAGAAAAACGAAAATCTGGATGTGTCCTTTTCAGATGGTAATGATCACAAAGATCATATATTTATGGAGGAGCATGTATGTACAAACGATTATTGTTGATTATGCCCACGTTTTCTTTAATGACTCAACGTGCATAATATTACATGCATATTCCTAGGGAAAAGCAAAGCCATCCCTCCCACCCCTCCTTCAATTCATTGTGTCAGATCGTACGATTAGCTAGTTTGCTATTATTATCATTATTGGTACTACTTTCATGCTTTTCAGTTTATAAATATATTATATTGGTTCGCTTTCCCCCACACACACCCCTTTTTTTTTCTCTATGCACTACATAAATTCTGTACTACGTACATAAAATTTTTAATAACGACTTCCTTTTTCTTCTTGTATCCCTCCCTGCTTTCTTTCTTTGGAAAAATGAACGAATTAACTGATCATACCAAAGAGATTCGCATTAACAAACGTGTTGAATACATTGTCTATTCTAAACATCCATTGTCTTTACACCTGGCGCTAATCCATACCATTACGATTGTACAGCATGATTACAGTCTTAGTGGTTTACCGCCAAATTAATCGGTATAGGGGGAGGGAGTAACAAGTCGCCCCCAAATTTTTATACCTTGATACGTAATAGAGGGATGAAGAACCCCAACTTTCAGAACAAGGACTTGTTCATTTTCATGTTTAGCCAAGCAGACCCTCCCCCCCATTCGGTTTGTTATGTTATTGTGACAAAACATTAAACAAATAATTGATGATCTTGGTGAATGTGATAAATTTTTGGTGATTTTAGGATATCTCGTTTTTTCACACCACCACCCGCAGTAGTTTTCTAATAACCTTTTCACATCAAAGTTACCGGTTTTCAGTTTTCAGTTACACACGAATATCAAAAAGTAGTCTTTTCAGCCGCATACATGCAGGAAATAAAGCGTATACATATCGTAAAATAGTGAAAGTACGGTTCCCGTTAATAGGGCTATTTGCGATTAGTAGTTGTATAATACATAAATATACACATAAATATACACATACCTGTATAATCAGTATAAATTAACAATAACCTATATATAATGCATTACAATATAAAATACAGCCTTATTACTCATTAGCGTAAATTCATACTACCGCTGGTTTTACCGTGTAAATATGCTACGCTAACACAAACCCGATATAAACAAGATTTTAGGAATACAAGTTATGAGGTTAATAACTTAATGGTTCTGAAATTGACCAACGACAGAGCGCGTAGTTATGAAAATTTTAGCTATGATGTCATCTGTCGCATGGTAAGTTTAGTTGACAGTGTTAATCAAAGATTATATAATATTGTTTATATTGACCCTTTTTGACCCAATCGGCGATCTCTTGTTGAATAGTGTAATAAAATTACGGTTATAGCATGCACATGCTTTTTATTATGTTTTAATTAATATGACTTGCAAGCGGGGAGACACCCTCATTACGTTTTACTCGAAACATTTACTGCGCAACAAGCTGACAAGCTGACAAGCAAGGAACACTCTTTTCGTCCATCTGTCATTTCAGTAGAAAGCATATGGCATATATATAGCATATATATATAGCATAGCATAAGCATGACCTCACTCTAAGTTGAGCGCTCGGGAACGAAAATAATCATGATTTTATAAAAACTGGGGTTGGAAAATAGAGGGTGCTTGGAGGAGGTATGTATGAGGGGATGTATGCCAGACCACATGAAGAATGAAAAAGGGTTATTTATTATTATGTGACATGAAAGAATATTATCGAGTTTTCTAGATAGTTGTAGCAAATAGGTTAATGCTATTTTTGTAAACAATGCCAGTTTATCGATTCACATTTTAATATGGTCATTCGTTATCTCTATATATATATTTCTCAATGTGTGTGGTTCGTTTATTGTTTGTCATCGTAATCTTTATTCATATGCATCCATATGTACGGAGTTTATGTGTGTGCGTGTGTCTCGCAGTTCGAGCTGTATGAACTAACCCCACTCCTCAAAAATGTGGGCGTCAAAAATTTCATTCTATTTAGTCACTGTTATCAATGTCACTGCTTGCCCCCCTATACCAAGCCTTGTCATATTATTTTCGGACATGACGCTATATATAATGTTCTCTTGGCATATAAGTGTATATGATGATGGGGTATTTTTTTTTCTTTTCTTTTTTGGTCTATAAACGTGTACGTATGCACGATATGTGACTCGCGTGATAACGAAAAGATGTATTGGTGGGGGGCGGAGCGGGGGATGGGAAGGAAAAAAAAGGAGAATGCGTAGAAAGAATGATGGAGAATATAAAGGAGTTGAATGTTTATTGGGGAGAATGAATCCATTGTCGCTAACCATTAATCATGCATGAAAAGCCATCCGTTGCTGTGTTATATGCCATTTTAATCGATTGTACCATGATTTGTATATTGCTCGACTTGTCATCCCCACGCATTTTCGCATAATTTTTATTGAGATTGGTTCGTAATTGGTGTTAATTTGGGGAGAGATCGACTGTTGGCATGTAAAATGATGTCATGTTTGCTGTGATGTTTTTTGGTGGTATTGTATGCAGTCTTATTATTTCGGAGATTAGCTATTATAAATGCTATTATAAACAATATATTGCAGCTTCACAATAACCAAAGCTCCGCAACATCGGTATTAGTTACTAATTAGACGCAATATACTGTACTATAATTCTGATTGAATAACGTCAAACAATATACTGATATTATATGATGTGTGACATATTATCATCATCGATTTTTTGCCTGACCCTGTAATCGATAGCTTTTTCCTGATCAACCATTAAGAATACAGCATAATAATAGCATAGTTTATCACATGGTCGTTACTCCGCATTGTCGATTAATCCATCTACCTAGGACTTTTAAGTCACTAATATCACGTAAACCCTCTTTAGGTGACGCCAATTCCGTCAGGGCGTTTACAGCGGGGGCCCCAACTGTGTTCTAAATCATCGCATCCCAATAGTGTTATGTCCGATGTCATGCTCGTTTAGCGTGAAATGCATGCTGACAAGTGTTAAAACTCTGTGCTCTCACTCTCACTTTCTCACTCACTTTTTCACTCTCTCACTCACTCACCTTCTCGCCTCCTCTCTTTCTCTCTTTTTCTCTCTTTCCCTCTGTCTCTTTGTTCACACCCTCTTTATCCATACTAATACACCCAACACCTAATTCATGTATGTCAATGCCAACTGGTTACAATTACCATAGCGTTGGTAACAAAGCGGACAGTTATATGTAATTTTTCCTAAAACGACTGGGCCACTCGGAACATATCAAAATTATTGCCCAATTACCATGCTACGCCATTCACCCTTAACCTGCTTATATTATAATTGTATGCACAGAGTCGAAAAATTTGCATTGGCATACATCTGTTCAACATAATATCACGGTAAAGTGAAACGATAAGAGGCGCATGCGAGCAGACACCCTCCCCCTCAAACTTGAAGCCCTAATATTCCGATTGCTAGTGTGATGAATAAATGCAATATGTGTCACAGACCAAAACAGGAATAAAACAAAGAATATTCTCATTTTATTCCGTCAGCCGCGAACCTTGGGCTGTTTGGAATGGGCGAGAGGGTTGCATACATTTCGTGATTAAAGAGAAAGAGTCTATTGTACGATATTCATGTGGGGATGAATTTTACCGACACGGAAAGATACCAAAACGCAATGGTTATAACAAGAATAAATTATTTTTCTGCACGTAAAAAAATTCAGTGGGGGGGTTTTTTTTCTTGTTGCGCACGCTTGTGCTGTGCGAGCATGATTATTTATTCGAAAGTTTCCTTTTTCGTTTTCTTTGAACATAAAATTCCACAACAGTAAATAGCAAAGTACAGCAGTTGACTCTGACCGCCCCGCCTCGGGGGGCTGAAGCTTTTAGTTCATTATAGCCAACGTTTATTATAATTCCCAATTCCTGTTCGATCAAAAGAGTGGAGACTAACCTTTATTGGGGCTGGTTCAACACGTCTGCCAAAATTTTTACTCTGACAACCAGCCCTCGCCAAATTCTTGATGATATACTGACTATGTTCTATTACGTATTGTTCCCACCTTTTCGTTGCTCGTCTTTTCCTTCCGATTTTACTGTCACATCCCCTCATCCGTCTTCTCGCTTATCATGACATTGAATCATCTTGAGCTACCGTACATTCAATTTTTTTCTTCTTTCAGTCAAATCACGTACTAACACTATGTTTGTGTGACAGTTTACAGGATCGGGAATATCAATATGAAATTTCGATACGCAAACTGGTTCCACATACACTATGGTTATGATCAGACTGATTAAGTTCACTGTAAGCGAATTTAGTATTTACCTGAAAAAAAAAAGCTCGAATTCTTTTGAGACGATTTGATTCACTTGCACTCGGAATTCTGTATAACCAAGTTCAATATTAATAGCGTAAACTGTAAACACTATATTAATTGTGCGACATTATAAGTGGGCTTTTAAATTGACTGTGTGAAATACTTAAACAAATTTGTCACAATATCAATATTTGCAGCGCACAAGATGGGTCTCGAACTTTGCGTGTAGACTCACCAGCATGCAAGCTCATCGATATCGCGCGTTTCATATGTAGCCAATTTTACGCCACTTGCCCATAATTGACTTGTAAAGGTTATGCGTTACAAAAGGGCTCCTAAAACTTTGGGGGTAGTAAATGAAAACGATCCGGTTATCGTAAACTCGGTGTTTAGCATTCAAATTCAAATGATATCCCCCCAGCACGACTGGCTTAACATTGAACGTGGGCGTATTTGAATGACGCAAATGTGTGATTATATATCAAGGGCTAGACGTATTCCGGACCACAAGTGATAACATGCATAGAAAGATCCATTAGAATCTGTGATTAAGTACGTCTTGCTTACCGTTTCAAAGATCCTGTTTTGTATACTTTTGCAAGGTTTATTGGTTTTGGGGGAGGTCAACCAAGATGTGTTTATTAGGTAGTACATAAGATGTAGTTAACCATTCAAATTTCCGAAATATCTCGGAAGGTTCTGGATGTGTTTATTTCGTCTGTTGGCCTTGTAAAGAAGAGAGAATTAAACGACTCAATGCATTACGATAGTATATGCTGACAAGGAAAGACATAATGGTATGCATCAAAGTATGAGTAATAAATCGATGGGAGAATTGCATTTATTACACTTGTTATGACGAAAGTAGTAATATGCATTTGACTATTTTTACTGCATTGTTCATTTCCTTATTAGTACGTTGCCGTCAATTATGTTAGTGTTGCTGTTACAATAACAATTAAACACCAATAAACTTGGCTATGTCTGGTAGAATTAAGTCGTTTAATTCTTTACCAACTTTGGTCAGGGGATCAAAATTATTGGTGCTTTCAAGCGTCTGTTGATATGTAGATAATCAAATGAGATGAAAGGAATGATACAACGAAAACAAAATGTAACAAGCCATACATAATAACTTCATTGTTGAATTATTCATCAAGACTTGGTATTCAACCAGTTCCCATGAGGGGGACAACGTAAAGGCGCTGACGATTAGTCAGTATTTTGCCCTTATGTCGATTTGTTAAGGAAAAAAGAAAAGTTCTAGAGTCGCAAAGTGTCACCTTTTTAACCGATGGTTTGAAAGGTATTATCAATTTACGTTTGTTACGGGCAGTTGAATCCGAGAATTATGAGTCAAAGGCTAAATTATACCCCGCTCATTGACTGGGATGCCAAAGAAGGGGTAGCAGCGTTCATACAATTATGAGGGTTAATAACTGATGTTCGTTATCATTATATTATTTTTTTTTTAATAGGTATTGTTTGCGTTTGTTTTTACTTTTTTGCTTGCGACTAGGTTAGTTAATGTGATGTTGTGTCTCTACCCCCCCCCCCCCTTCTCTCTCATCAACCCCCACTATGCCGAGGGGGGCACACCGTAACGCCTTTTCACACACATATCACACACATATCACACACATATCACATAGGACAAATTATATATACATACATTAGTATGTAGTATATGGGCATTTGTTTCATTTACGCTCTTCCATATCATTTCTCTTGAACAAATTGTGGTAATAATAGGAAATAAGTACTAATCTCTAGGATTATGATGGTCTCTTTCACCAACTCAGTAACATATAGCACAACGGTTTCTCTTATTGTTGAAGAATCAGCTGGAGAATAGAATAAAGACCATTTGTAAAAAAAGGGTGCGTATGTTCGGTGGGGCCTAAATACTTTGGGGTGAGTGTAACAAATATATATTGTTATTGTATAAATGAATTTAATTGAATTGCATGTATAATAATTATATATACGTATTAGTATGTACATAATACATAATACACAATACACAATACATATATCTACTCTAATAATATACAACATATATACACACTATTTAATGCAATCGTATTTTAATTATATAATGTGTAATGCGAAACTCTATAAAAGGGACGAGCCATTTTCCTTTTGCTAAATATCTCTCTCTCTAAACCAACTTCGAAAAAAAAGCCAAAAAAAAGGAATCACTTGGAACATACTCTCCTTGGTCTCCAAGCCGACTTAAATAGCAACAAGCGCACTCTTCGCTCATCATCTTTTTTCCCTCATTTCCTCATCAAATCCACTCCTAACGACATTATACCTCACCACAAACACACTACTTTCACCTATCAAAAGATGGATAAACATTCAGCAAAATCCGCACCCAAGAGAATCCTCAGCAAGATATTCCCAAACTCCAAGAAGAATAGCTCAGTCTCCCCTCAAAACGAATGGACTCCAGAATGGATGGCCACTATCTCCACCTCTAATGACGATAGTAATTGGTACTCGACTGCGATGACTCATGCTACGCTCGCCATCATGTCTACAAACGAGCAAGAAGGAACCAGTCATGTCAGAGATCGACATGACGAAGAAGACGAATCTAGGCCGTCCATGCCCAGACGATACAGTTTCTCTACGGTCCATGATAACGGGAGACAGAGATTAGTCGCCGCAAAGAGAGCAGAGTACCAAGCCAAGATGCAGGCGTTTGACGAGCTCATACAACGAAGGCGGGGTAGTACTTTACGAATGGCCCTTACTCCTGACGTTACTTGCTAATGATCTGGGTCGATCAAAGAGAGTTGGGACGTTGCAGACTGATTGAAGTGGTTTCCCCTCTCTCTCCTCCCTTCTTATAAACGCTATTCTTCTTCTTATTCTTTTTAATCATCAATATTAATCATACGAGTGGGGATGGGAAAGGAACATTGAGAAAGTCAAAGTTGGATGGTGCAGCGCGGTTATTACAAGCAAGCGATCGTTAATCGTTGGTTCCTTTCCATTGGATTCTCTTTCTATTTTGGTTTTCTTTTTTAAACATTTAATTTCTTTGAGAGATTACTTTATGGTTCTATGGTTTTTTTTTTATCTAATAAGCGGTTTGGCCCCGTTGCTTAGAACAACTATGCCACAAAAACAAAAAATATGCGGAAGCAAAATGCATTCCTCTCTACCCTTTTGAAAAAAAAAAAGAAGCGGGTTTGCGTTTAGGGGATTTCTGTGTCTTCCCCTTAACCTTTACCACTTACTTTTCACAACTCTATATTTATTTTCTTATACGAATTAGTTGTCTATGATTTGATTTATGCCTGTGGGAGATTTTTACTATACGATTCTTACAAAGTCCGATTGGAACCTTCCGTATGACTCACCCATTTTACATTACTTTTGTCTTTGCCTTTACAAACCTCAAACTTTATTTCTTTTTTTTATTTTAACATTATTGTTTCTTTTTGTTTCTTTTTCTTTTAATTTTCCTCAAGCAATTTGTTGTCTATAAATGTTACTTATATTTCTATTTCTTAATTCAAACGTAATCTTTAAATTTCGATAAAAACAGAATAAAAGCAAGTCTTGCGAGACTATGATATAACGAACGAATTTGTCTTTATTGTTTGATGCTTCGCGTGATTGGGCAAGACAGTTATGCGCATATTCGACTATTGTAGACGATCTTTAAAGATTAATGTAGACACTACATTACATCATTGTCTAACAATCGAGTTCACACAACATTGGAACAAACATGTAAAATAGTTTCGGACTATTTCAAATCTGGCGCTGAACATGTATGATATGGTTTAGCATATCGAACTTAGTATATGAGACCTAAATACGAAGGTTTGATCCAACTAATTTGCCACAGGACCCAATCAGAAAATCGATGGGTAGTAGAGCTATTCCAAAAGAAGGCAAGAGATGGTATATTTTTGGCTCGTTCCAAACTGGGAAATTATAAATCGCGTACGACCGTTCCTTGCAAAAACAGCCGATACAAACAAACCCAGTTTGTTCATAGTCACAGGACCAATTGACGTTCTATAAAAAAAAACATTGCAATCAATCCCATTATTCTCGTAAAAAATTTGAGAGATGTGAAAATTTGGTTACACGATGACATCATGTCACCGACGAAAAAAAACCAACCGTTTTTCGCCTCTTAGCGGCGGTTGGTCCTAGAATGGCTGAGCCAATCGTAAATATTCCGTTGCACATGCAAACACATTTTTCCTTTATTGTTTAACGTTTTTCTTTGGCTTTGTTATCAATGAGACTGCCAGAACATTTAGTTTTGGTTGGTGGGATAAACCGATAAGCACGGATGAAACAGACAAACAAGAATGACAAATGGCAGTGATAATTTTTGGGGAGCGGATGTGGGTAGGGGGAGGGGGAGGAGCGAAACCAATTGTCAGCCAGGCATAAATCTATGTTGTACTGTCGAGTTTATGGATATTGAGTGCGTGTTGGTAAAATACAGAAAAGTCTGTTCGGACTTTTGCAGTGAGAAACAACCAATTGGAGAAATTACGTTTCAATGTTTGTAACATGCGTACATGCATACACGTTGATGTTTACAGCGCAAGTTGCCCGACGTAACATGCCAAGAGTTTGCGCGCGCGTAACGTGTTCCAATCGTGTGGATGAAAAAGAAAAAGATCATCTTAATTCGCTAATCATTTTCATAAATAGGTTTCAGAATATCAATAATACCCCACTCCCCCTCTCTTACCCCCCTGAAAAACAAATATATTTTCTTCATTCTCCATAGGTAAAGCTTCAATCAGTGACAGGTGACAAAGCCAACGTATTTGGTAATAAATACCAACAACCTTATCCAATGTCCATTGAAATTCGGCGTCGCTGCTAAGCTTAAAATAGGTTAATTAATTTACCATCGACCGCCAAGAAAATCAAATAATATACTCCTTGTTATACGACTACTCCTTCTCAGAAACAAATATATTGTATCTTTCATTAGCCAATCACTGTTCGTGTGAATTCGAAACTGGCAAACATTCGATCATGAGCCTGTGAGATGTTTCTCTATTACCATCTACCTGTACAACGACATCAACGCGAACTGCTGAGGAAACAAATGTTTCTCAACGCCTATCGGATCATGGTCTAAATTGGTTATTATTGAGTGACGGATTTGGTATTATCAATTACTATATATAGAGAGAGATAAGGTGCTTCTGTGGCGGACTATCCGTCGTGTATAGTAGAGGCTTTCTTTATTTGGTTACGAGAATAATTTGTAATATGAAAGAAATAAGAGAATAACGGCAAAAGGATCATTGTATTTTTGACACACTTGGAACACACGTTTAAATTTAGAATTATATGACATATTCTACCCTAAAATGTTGGTGATTTTATCGGATGGCATTGATTAATATGATATACCTAAATTTAAGTATTCACACAACCGATTTTAACTATTGCCCTCAAAGTCGCAAGCCAATGACTTCATATAGGATAATCAATTACCCTGTATATACCGACCGTCCTTGTACCAAAAAGGACGCTAATTACAAACACATAACACATGTGTTCATTTACACATCTGATTATCCGTAATTTTTATTTTTCGGGCGAATCCGCAAACTTAGTTTCATTCACGTGTTTTATAATTTTGGGTTAATTGATAGACACTTACATTCCCATATCAATCAAATGGCATGAATGTCCTCCGATCGGGAGGTAAATTTTTATGCGGAGAAATTGAATGAGTTACCTAATTACGATAAATGGATTGTTATTGTTGAGACGACCATATATGGTAACTAAAATCAGAAGTCTCGTGTAACAGTCAAATCATAAACAGATAGGGTTATATTTATATTGATTGTCGGTCGTTTCAGCAAATTCGTTTCCATATCTCTGCGTCTATACTATGCCCAAAACTGCTGTTATAAGTGCAATTCTAGTTGGTATTATGCATGCCGAGCCATCATTCATTATCTGATTGATTGGCCATGAATTTTGTATGGCCATAACCCGAGTCAACAATTGTTCGATAGGACCATGACGACAAAACCAACCTGACGTGAATCTCACTAATGCGTGAGAGTCAATGTATCATTCTTGGTAAATTGAATAAAAATGGACACATATACACAAATTTGTGTTTGGATGTTTGTACATACCGATACGCGGAAGATCCGTTTTTGGTTGAAAATGTAACAAATCTGCCGATCGACAATAACATCCAATACATGATTAATTACTAATACATAGGAATAATAACAAGTGTCAGTAATGTATTCGCAGAGTGGGCGCTTAACTGCGGCTGGCTTTCAGTTGTCAAACAGCAGACGTCCGTCCGTTCACATAATGATATGCAAACAAGCAACAATGACTAAGCAGGCTTCATTCAATGTAGTCGCTTCCCCCTTCTCACTGGTCCATTCTGCAGTCATTGAAATAATTTCTATTTTTTTCTCAATTGCATGCGCCCCCATCAATAAAAGAACAATTCGCCGAAAGTACAGGTTTATCTAATTTAACTGAAAATTATAAATAAATGAAAACCAAAACAGATATGCAAGTGAATGAATAGTACAAATGTATAAATTCAATACATATCATATCAACATATTATCGCTTTGGTTCGTACAAACCTAAATTTCCGCTTATCCAATCAGTCATTGGCAAAATTGTGTCATACGACCGCATCCAGTTTAAGGTCGAGTGCATACAAAAGGGAATGGTAATAAGAGAAATTGGGGGGGATGGGGGTGGGAGAGAAGGGGAAAGAGGGGAGGGGAAGATGTGAGGAAAAGATGGGAAGAGGGTCTGTTACAGAGAAGAGGGTTATTAAAAAGGGTATATTACTAATTAATGGGAGAGTGTACAATTCCGAGTCGCAATGTCAACTCATGCACAAATAGTCTCGACAACCCCAAACATCATACATAATTGACCAAAGCAGACAATATAATGCATCAGCATATGTACGTGACCAGACTGCACGCCTGTTATTAACGGTCCACTCATAATTCGTCAAGTCAAAAATGCCCAAACTGTGATTTGTGATATTCAGATAACGATTGCGATTGTTATTCGGAATTTTGTTCTGCCTTGTTGTGTAGTACTGAATGACCTTTAGTGGGATGGGCTGTGTTAACAATTCACATATTGGGAATGAAGACTCGGGATGCAAAAAAAAAAAAAGTATTATGTGATAAGAACAATGAATCATCTGATGCGTGAATGGTAACCGATTATAAGTTATCATAGAGAAAAAACAATCATTTGTAATTTTATAGGAGGCGCCAATGTTTGGTTGCTTGTGACCGTATCAAATGTCCAAAGTATTAATAATCCTCGAATTTGGTTACGACGGCGCAATCGAATCTGCGCAATGAGAAAAGATATTGTCGATTCCTTTGTCAATGCTAATCGAGTTAGCCCCCCCCCCCCAAAGTAATTAATCTGCAATCTGCAACCTGCAAAAAGTCATTTTTTTTATTGGTATACCAGCCAGTTTGTCGTTTACTAACAATAGATTTTCGGTACTTTGAACCAAATATTTACGCATGTTTGGGATACGGTAAAAACTTGGGTGCCCCAAAAACTCATTGAAAAATGCACATTTCGGCCGTAATAAAGGGAAAGTGACATTGTATTACCGTTTCATCTACGTAGAGTTTTCTTTTTTCGTTGGGTGTTTGTGTTTTTTGGTATTGTGCTAGTAAAGTCACGACTTATGTGTCATTGGCTAATATGTGTACACAATAAGTCATGAAAAGAAATTCACCAAACATATTGCACAAAAGATGCTCATACACAAAACATACAATCTTAAACGTTGAGTTACAATGACGTTTATATGTTACTATTGAATGTTATAGTTGTCTTTGGCCTTTGATATTAGCAAAACATATCAAGGCGCGTCTATGATGTGACGCCTGAATCGATTGAATAAAAAGAAGATTTTTTTGAAACAATTTAAAAACCGTAAAAGTGTCTGAAAATTTGATTGAAATTAACGCTAAGCCTGATTCGCTAGAATTGTTACAGTGATGATGTAACCTGTGATACATATATCACGCCAAACGACTTAGCAATATTAGCAAAAATGTATGATTGAAATAAATTAACACACATGTTACAGTAATTCCACATATACTGACAATAACATGATACTAATAGGCAGAAACAGCAACTCATGTTTAGTATTAAATGTGTAATCGTATTCGATAACCGCAACTAAGGAACCCCCCGGAAAGAAACCCATTTTTTAAACCTCTTTCGCGGCATTTTAACAATTTTTTTTGTTTATTCAAATATTCCGAATAAACGCAAGACCTAGTCAGGCTAGACAACAATAGCCAGATTATGTTTAATGCAAGTTCACAATATGTGTTGACAAGACTTTTGGGCGCGTTTTTCATCGATCCTCAAAAATTAATTTGTGTGACAACTTCTAGTCAGTGATATAAGATTGATGCATTGATGGGGTGCTCGCGGTGTATCGATTTGGGGGAGGGGGAGGGGGTAATGGTGGGGTAATGGTGGGGGGTGGGGTTGTGAGATATAACAGCTCTGTATGGACGTGCGAAATATATCACATAATTAATTATATGGTAACACACAGTGGCCAAGCTGTAATATCACTATATTGCAATTTTCAATATTCGGAGATGTGCGTAATATGACCAATGCCTTCCAGAGTCAGAATTTACTATTAGGTTCTATTTTTTTAATTAAACCTTGTGTATCCGTAAATAATATGATATTAGCGAGACGTTATATAATATTATCGCTTCAACAGCAAATTAGTCCGATTGGGTAAAAAAAACAACATTTGTGTCAGAACGGGTAGAAAGAATTAGCGATTGCCCGACTCTTTATTACCATCCATAGAACAATCTCTAAAGCTAATACAAGAATTTTCCTTGTTTGCGCGTAAGTGTCTATACACGGATAGTCGAAAACAACCCTTGCTTTATATTTACCGAGCATTCATTGTGGAAAAGTTTTTCTCGCGATAATAAGGATGAAAAAAAAAGTTCAGCATAAAAAAAGAAAATGGTTCGAGCGCATGTATACATACAAAAAATTTTCCTGATTAGATGGATGCAAGATGCTACAAGTTTTATGCATGACATATGTGCAAAAATATTCTAGACATCATCGATGCGTAACTGTGTACCCAACCCTTTACATCCCATGCAGTTGGTAATCCATATAATGTGACACATTGAAAGGGATAATATTCGTTTTATCGTTCTCGTAATTTGCTCATTCGATTGTACAAAGTAATAAACGCTTTAGAATAAACGAGTATTCGCAAGAGATAATCGTAATTACATTGAAATATTTTTGTTTTAATTCGAAAAACTGAAGGCGTAATGAATGCAGGTATTCAAACTTGAACTTGTCATCCCCCGCATTTGTTTATGTCCGTTAATAGCAATTCACTGCACCAATAGTAATAGCCTTCTCCTCGTTCTGAATGATCGCATGTTTCATGTATCGCATACACTCACGCACCCACACACGGACCAACCCACCCGAACGATATGTGGGCGTCATTGTATTCCCGAGAGCGCTGAATGCGTACATTGAAAAAAAAAAAAGTGAGCAGGGTTGCAGATGAAGTAGTTATTGATAACTGCACGCACGAACCACCAATGATTATGGATACAAATACCACAAACATGTGTTTCTCCGCACAAATAAGTCACTTAATATGGGTCAAATTACTAATGTTTATAAACGCAAATGCTAATATAGACTAGCACACAATGTAAACATCTCCACATTGTTATTATTTGCACCAAACAGCGGTTTACTGTATAAGAACAAGGGTCTCGATGCAAGGGCCCGGTCCAATGAACCTTACATATATTAACGAGATGGTTCATCTTTGTTCTCGTTCGTACTTATTACACAAATTATGAAATATGAAGTAATTGAACATTGTGCCGTAACCACCGATACATCACGAAACCGGTTTGCTGAATCAGCATTAATTCGCAAGCGTTAGCATTGCTCGAGATCAAACTTGGGTATGTTGTACAATGCTAGATGGAATTTTTCCGATCAAACCAATAGAATTTGTCCGTTCACAGACGGTAGCAAGTAGACGTTTTGCAATAGAGTGAATCTTTTTGGATGAAGTTGAAGCGCATATACGATGAAGATGTTCTCAATGTAAATAATGCGATAGCCATCAGCACTGAAATTCAATGGTTATGAACGATAATATAACACATCTCCGTCCAATATGATTAATCCAAAGTCAAGGTTAGAATTTACAAGTGTCTAATGTCGGGAGTTACAATAATGTCAACAAAAATGTGAATATAAAATAAAGAATCGCGCAGAGAATGATCAGATCAATTAAGAGGAATGGGGAACAAAAACATTCATTCATTGTCGTAGAATGGAGACGTGGGATTTGGGAGAGATACTAATAAGCAAACAAACCTATTACATGTATAAGAAGATAATATTGTGAACGGCCTCGGACGTTTCTTCGAGATGAATATCGCTACGTGCGCTGGCAGTGAGTACATATTATGTTCTGCAGGCTGCCTGAATCACGAGAATTATCGATCTCGGCAATATAAGAGTATCGTCCGGGGGGCCCTGAATCTCAATAGTTGTTAACATTGTCGTCTAATTGGGATGATCTCGGCGATAATAAAAAAACAGTCATGGAATGCTCGCTTTCACACTACGCCTCAATGGGTGCCTTTGTTGCTTTTCGTCCAAATTCCTTAAGAGTATGCCGGTCGCAAATCGATCATTTTGCGCGTGGAGCGACTGTGATTCAAAGTTCGTGCTTATTCACAAGTGAGAACAGTTTCTGCAGCCATCGAGGTCCACAACCCACAGACACCATGGAACTGAGACTCACAGCCACGACTTGCTGACCAAATTTTCATGCCTGTCACATCAGTCACCTGTTAATAAAAGCATGGGTGACGAGCGATTAATAAATTAAACTTATTGCTAACTCTGGGAAAGTGTTTATTCCTTGGAGCGGGATTGTCCGTGGCTTGACAACTAACAAACTAGCATGGCATTCACCTTATTCGGCCCAACTGTTATGGTAAGATTGCTTCTTCGTGTTGAGACAATCGCTTCATGCTTGCATTTATTGACTTGACTATGCCTGCTTGACTTGCGTCGCAACCTCAGAACAATCAAACTCTAGGATGTCTGATCAGAGTGAATTGCCAAATCAAGTGTTAGTGCGCAGAAGTAATAGGGACTATCTTAGTTACAGCTTTCCAAGTCCTTGCAATAGTCCTCTCCATTCTTACCTCTGCGTGTGTTCATCATTCTCTTCAATTAAGCTTGTTTTGATGAGAAGATTTCTTCTTTTGCTTGCAGTCTCATCAATGTCACTTTCTTCTCGATGCGGTAGGAGAGCACCCTGCCAGCCCAAGAGCAATTGTGCTTAAACGCTCCAAAGGTAAGATCTTCAGCTAGACAAAAAAAAGGGGATAGTTAATCTCGGCAGAAGTATCGAGTACATGTCATGTAGTATAATCACATAACCAGCCGCGCACGAATGAATCTGGTAGAACATCAATCAATAAACCACGAAACAGTGCGCTGCTCCATTCGCATCTGACTCAAGTTCAAAATGCCACGCCCTGAAAGCATGTGTCGTTCAGTTACCGTTTTGCTCTCGATTCAGACAATTTGAGGTAACAGTTGTTGATATTATCGATTCGCCGTTTGTCACTGTTTTAACTTCCCAAATCACTACGGAAGAATTGGAGATTCGAAACTTGTTTAGAAGAAGGCATGCCTCAGCTTTTCCAAAAGACCGGCGTACCCGTAAGAAGCATACGCTTTTGCTTACAGCAAAACGCGTGTGTGCAAACTGCAAACGTAGATTTGAGGACGTCGCCAAAGTTATTACGCGTGCAATCCTGGTATACTGTGCCTAGAGTTGTAGCACTGTGTGAAAAGTCATTCAGTTGATTACGTAAATTGCTTTTTTTTTAAACATGGGCTCACAAAATTTGCCGCTAGTATTATTATGTCACAGGTGCCACTAAGGGGGGCCGACTATTTAGAAGACTGAAACGTTTGGCGCAACATACGTGTATCGTAATACTGCCAATTGCATCAGAAACACTTATCAAAACGTGAGGCATTGATACGTTCTCAAAGGGTCCTTTATAGCTCCCACTACCTTATCTGCAATTCGTTTTAGAATGTAACGTTCTAGAATAGCCCCGTTCTTGTGACACTGCATTGAGATAACATTATAATTATCAACATTCATATTAAAGTTAACATAATTTCGGTGCTCGTTCCTCGGATATCTATGCCAATTATGAAAACAATGTGAATGGCTTCAAGCTGTGTAAAGATACAGCTATTGTCTTGCATTATCGTCTGCATCCCTGCATTTTTGCGTTAAACTAGGTACGAATAATATTGTGATCTACAAGTTATTATTACGCCAAAGAAAAAGACGTGATTACAGAGATGAATGATCAAATCATCATGTCCAAAGAATGGCCTGCTCCGTGACTATTGTGTATTAGACAGGGTGCACTAATATGCAGAAACGCTTAAAAATAGGGTGCTCTAACATTTTTTGGATAAGGAATTTCTTTTCTCAGCGGTAGGCCATCCGTCTACTTTTGTTAACTTATATATACTGTATTGATGTAACTGTGAAAGTATAAGGAAATTAGTTTAGGTAATATGTCAAATATTAATCTATAATTTAAAAAATATAAATACTAGTTTATTTAATGTTGTTCAAATTAGGTTTAATATTGTGTTCGCATTTTCATAAAAATTTACCTAGTAAAGAAACACAAATTTAAGCAGTTAACCTTAACCGTACTTAAAAGAGGACGCACAAAATAAAAAAAAAAAAAAACGCTTTAAAATTTACATTTACAATGAAACAGTACAATATGTTTATTCAAGCATTTTTGGCATTTCAAAAGCAACATTTTAATCTCTCAGTTATCATTAAAACTCCGTTACTACTTATCCTACTTATCAAGCTTGGGATTACCGAAATATCGGCCCCAGCAGTGTTAGACTCAATTTGTGGCATGTTATATCAATGTACGTCAGTTAGTATTTTACGCACAAAACGTGCTTGTTTAGCAATTTGTCAGAACCTAATTACAGTAAAGGATGTAGACATATTCTTTTTTGTGCGTATAACTATTTTTGTGCTGTGTCCGAATTCGGGACCCAGAATCCAGTCACTCAGTTCAGAACTGAGATACAGCAATTCTTTTGTATTAAGCAAGTTTGCACTTCTTTGCGTCTTGAGACTTTCCACTCTATCAAACGTATTACTCTGCCTGAGCCATCAAGATTATACTTTTTTCAAAATTAGATATTTGACAAACTTAAAGTAATTTTTTAATACTCGGACGGTTTGAAAAAATGGCAGAAACGCGACTAAATTCACAAAGAGTTAGTGAATGTAGAAGGAAAAAAAGCATTGGTTATTAGCACAATTAAACGCTGGATTACTACGTTAAAAGACAGAGAAGAAGAAATCAAAAACAAGGCTTATTTTGGACGCCCTCGAAAAGTAAGTAACGCCGGGGAAAAAATCAAAAATTTTGTTAATAGTAACTCGCACATTTTTATTAAAATTAGCCAACGAAATCGGCATCTCTCGTGTTATATTTTGCATCATGAGCTGAGCTTTCAGAAAAAAAAGGAAATGAACAACTGTGACGTCATAATACTGCCGCACCTCACGATCATAAGAGTGAAATTTCCCCCACTTGCCATAGGTCCAGACCGTGTTCTGATACGGTCGAAAATCTGGCAAAGGCTACTCGGACAATTGTCGAGGAATTATTATTAACTTTTCTCAGTCAAGCGATACTTTCCTCAATGCTCAAGCCCACCAAGGATTTAGAAAGCAAAAGAAAAAAGTCTTGAAAAAAATGGATGCTTTGTTTGAAACTCGAAACCATAAAGTAACCAAAGCCGACCATGAAAAGTCTTTCTGCAACGTGGCATAATGTTAATGGAGAGTATGTTGAGGAAATGAAATGGTGGTATCGATAATTATTGGACATAAAAAATTTTTTTTTTCAACCCTCCCCGTACATCCACTCTAGAGAATTGCGGCTATCAAAAGATATCTAGACTTCAATTATGAATGAAGACATTACTCGCATGTACTTAATTCATCAACATTTATGATGACATCTAAATATTATAATTATTATATCAGCGAGCTGTAATTGTCAAATAAAATACTTGTCTGCTATGTGTCACGGTTCTAAAAATAAAACCCACTTCTCAAAAGTAATATACGTTCGTTTGTTACACATGAAAGTATAATATAGGCAAAACGAATGTCTGAGATACAAGCGAAAGTGTTCATGTGATGATCCAAAATGTTTCTTTGTAATACACAATATCATTTACTAACTTGCGTGATCCACCTGACTGAATAACGGACCTATCATATTATTACAGTTGTTTGTTTACGATTTATTATCAATGTCGCGGACACGAAAAATTAATACGTGGTAAAGACAATTAATATTCTTATCCTAATCGAGCTTTTACATGACCAATAATTATTAGAATGGTTATTGTCAGTGTCACATAAAAAGTTAACGTGACGAGAGTCGTGCGTCAAGTGACTATGCATCGAGAATTATATAATGTGAGGACTATTTTCGCCAAGTCGAGTGTCAGCACAAGTCAACTCATTGCTTATACATCTCTCGTGCAATTACAGCGCAAACTTCAGTATGGTTAACACTAACGACATGATTAATGACACCGCCGATAATGCTGCAAACCGTGATGCACCGCTTTACGATTCTGATGACGATAGAAGTGATGAATTTAGTGACATGGAAGAAAGTGCATTTAATATTAATGAATCGGAGGTGATTATATTAATTAAATTTTATGTAATTTAATGAGGATATTAATATTGCTAACTTATATATTCTGATTTAAATACAATAATAAAGACTCATACTAGTTCTGACAGCGTCTCATCGTTTACTGCTTCATCCGATTCTTCAACTGCATCTGATACGCCACCGACTGCCAATTCATCTCCTTCCATTGACGATCCAAACTGTCCATTGCAATTCTTCGGTCCTGATCATCACGAAATTTGGGACACAGAATGGCAACCAATAAGTTATTAAATAAGGAACCTTTTTATGAAATTAAGTTTTATTTATTACTGCAAAAAATTGTTGTAATATAACAAGACTAAAAATAATGTCAATGCGAAAGTAACAGATTAGACATTCCTTTAGAAGTATATGTTGGAAATGTACCATTCTAATGGGTGGGGCGTGACTGTAAGTTAATTTGGTTGTGATTTTGATAAATAATTAGTTAAAAATGTATTAATAACTTATAGACAAGGAGTGTTTCATCCTCCTTGCTATTGTGTTGCAAATATTAAGGAATAAATATCTGACCATTCTCCAATTTCGATAAATCGTAAGAGAGCGTTCTTTTGTAAACCAATGGTTGTGCGCTACGTATTGAAGTGTCTTGCACAAAATCACGCGGAATGACAAGAAAAGTTTTAATTATATTTAGAAAGTCATTATGTTGAATGTTGACCTACGTGATCAATATTATGACGATCGCATACCAAAATGTGTTCATGGGACAAGTCCACAAATGTCAATAATTCAAAGCAATAGCGATTAATAGGTTCTGGTCTATGCATGAATAAATTCATCCACCGTAAAGAGTAGTTAATAGAGAGAAAGTAGAAAGAGACACAAGCAAGCCTCTGAATACATAATGACTATATACGGAAGACACAACGACCGAAAGGAATATGTACTATACGTTCTTGCAGTCATGAGACCCACGATTAAATGACACCTTCAATAACAATGGGTATTCGTTGCTGTACTTAATTTAGTACAGTTTCGACTTTAATTGACACCCAAGCACTTGCTTTTAGACAGCACGTGCATATACATGACTAAGCCGAAAAAACTTGGCCCAATGCCTGACATCTGTGTAATGTAAATGGCGGGGGAATAGATTGTTATTATTATTTCCATTGTTGACAGTAAGGATAGCATGTGATCTGAATATTGATTGACTTGGTCATTTGATTTTAGTAATTTCGGAATCGTAACAAAATGACGTGCTGTCCAGAGAGGTAGAAAGGCATATGCAAAAAAACTGCTTTATGTGACAATAAGAAAAGTAGGTTTCGTCTAAATTTGAACCCAACTCTTACGTGCTTTTCTTTCTTCATAAAGTTGTGATACATAAACTGGAGTAGATAAATGCTTTGCGAATTTTTGCAGAACGCATGTTGGCACTGTCTTCATAAGGGGAAATATCTCGGTCTAAAATTATACCACAATGTGGTAATTCTGTCCCTATTGATTTGCCATTTTGTTGCGCCATTGTCAATCAAATTCTTATTAGCATTGGCAGAGTTCATGATTAAATCGCAACGGCGTCCATATAATAAAATAGTATATTCATTGGACCCAGTGATGTTGCAGCTGTAAAATTACTGGTTTCGAATCACTGGAATTGGCTGGTTATTGTTACTAATATACGCGTCCTACTTGGAGTATAATCCAACGTCTTACGGGACCGTCGAAATTAACCTACCAGTTAGAGGAACAACAATGTGATTAACAATCGAGAATTGGAGGATAGTGAGTACGTGATCCCAATTTAAGGTAAAGGTTAGCCATGCTTCGATTGTAAATTTCAAGGCGATTACTGAACTGTCTCCCTGCTCAGCCACCATAGCGAGATTATGACTGGAGCGAAAGATAAAAGTAGGTATAGTAACAGAAGCTAGTAGTAGTCCTGTTTGTTGGTTTCTTTCTTTGAATTTCTGACTTCAGCAACGCAACCGCCACTGTTTTGTAATTGTACATCCTCTCTTGCATTCTTATTAATTTTCTTAATAGTTGCGGTATCATAGAAATAAGATGTAATTTCACTTTTAAGATCCTTCCGTAATTTTTTAAAGATTAATTTCCTATTTATTTGCCATGAATTCACACGTGAGCCATGCGGTGCAATTAAATCAACTAAATTAGATAATTTCAGGAATTTTGAGTTCAGGCAATCAATTACCACATTAATCCTAATTTTAATGCTAAAAAATTTTATTCTCAAGTTCTAAACTGCAATATAGTAAAAGGGATTAGAGTGAACCAAAAATCTAAATTTTCTTATTGCCAGAACTCTTTTGTTGTATCTAATATTTGCAAGTGGGAATATTGGGCTCTAATTCAGTTAACAAGTAAATGTGTCTAAATCGGGGAACATGAAGGAATATTATTGAGCTAGCAGGCTAGGAAAAAGGGAATGTATGTTGAAAATTTGGAGAAAGGGATGGCTGATCGTCAAAGTGAGATGGGAAAGCAAATAAATTTTACATAAGGAGTATCCACAAAGTGTTAGTTACAGTTACATTATAATTACAATTACAATTAGAATTTACAATTTACAATAGAGTTACTAGCTATTAAACATTCCGCACCTTTCCGCATTATATTCCAAAAAAGACTGCCACATACCTTTCGCGGATGAGAATTTTAGATGCATCAATCGTCGTATGGGATTATTGATTTCGCTCAATGTGCTATGTACATCGAGGGTGAAGCACAAGTTAGCATGCGATCGCTTGCAGGCACGCACAAACAATTATGAAAGTAGGTAACATACCCTCTTCTATGATTTCTTGCCTGAACTTCTTTGTCGTCTTTTCAAGATACTTTCAAGTACACGTTTGCCTTCACAGTTGGGAAAGTTTCTAAGGTCATAGTATGCAGGAGCAATTTCTAACAACCTTTTAAAGGATCGTAAAATGAGTATCATTGGTGTTATAAATGACTGTTTACAGCAAATACTAACCAGTCAGCTTTGACTTCTGTAACAGTGCGGATGTAGTTTTTCGTAGTCAACACAAATTCGTTGTATAAAACCCACTCTGGTTGATGGCCCAGACATGATGACGGATGAAGCTGTACGATCTACACGGAAAAAAAAAGTTCATTGTAGTAAAATAATGATACGGTTACAGGTTCCCCGTTTTATAGCTACCTGGTTGTCTTTACATGTCAAATAGTGGCCAGATTTTTCTAAATGTGCAACTTGCATGAAGAATCCGGCAGTCAATGCCTTACGTATATTCACATAATAATTTTTGTCGTTGAATGCAGTACTAAGCAGATCTTGATCACATCTTTCCATTATGCGCTTCAGTTGTTGACGCACGTTATCGGCTGATTTGAGAGATCTGGCACTAAGGAAACTCTCATAGCACCAATCTGGATCTCCGTTCTCTATTAATGATAAACGACTACTGTTAGAAACCGACAGTCACTTTTTTTTTTTTTCAAAATAACAATGGGCTACCTTTTTTATAAGCATGATAAACGTTTAACAACGTCAGGTGATCCCCGTCATTATGTGCAAATTTTGCTTTGGCTTCATCCGCTTGCTTCTTCATATCATTCGGTCGTAAAAACACATTAGGAACTGAAAAATTCCATAGAACGTTTGAACGCTTAATGTTAATGACAAGTAGATTTGGCCCGCTATCGTAAGGTGAGGCGTTGCAGGCTTACCAGACAATAAAGCCGTAATTGATAATATCTCATTTGAGCATTTATACTTTGGGCTCTCAATGAGCATCTTTGCCAGTTGAGGATCTAAGGGAAACTCTGCCATTAGGTGACCGTCAGCAGTAAGGTTACCGTCATCATCCAAAGCTCCAAGGTAATTGAGAAGTTCAAGAGCTCGCATCAATGTTTCGGGTGCTAAATAAACATGCGAATAACGTACATTAAAATCGCGTCTTAATTTCGATAGTGAAACGCAGTCATCATCAGCCGCGTACCTGGTGGATCCATGAAATCGAAATGTACTAAATCGTCTATTCCAAGTTTCTTCAGTTGAAGGACAACACTGCCCAAATTACTTCGCAGAATCTCAGGATACGTCTGCTCCTGCAATTCCTTGACAAATGCCTTTTCCGTATACAAACGGAAACACTTTCCTTAATAGGAATGAAAAAAAAAAAGTTAGCAATGTGACAACGAGTGAATTAACAGTGATCTTCCTTTCATTAATTACCTGGTCGTGTTCTACCAGCTCTTCCAGCACGTTGTTGAGCCGAAGCTTTACTAATTGGGCTTACCAATAAAGATTCCACACGAATGCGAGGATTATATACTTTCTGCTTACTGAATCCGGGGTCAACCACATAAACAATGCCATCGATAGTTAGAGACGTTTCCGCAATGTTAGTAGATACAATAACTTTTCTCCCAGGCTTTCCTCCTTTATCTCGTGGTGGAGGCGCATCTTCAAAAATGCGCTGTTGCTGCTGAGGCGGAAGCGATGAATAAAGGGGAAGCACTTTAAGAGGACCCACATCGCTTTGTTTTGCTAATTCATCAGCTTCTTGGCGAATTCTACGGCAAGCATCTTCAATTTCCTCTTCGCCGGTAAGGAAAATCAATATATCCCCTGGATCTTCACACAAATGAATTTGTATGACTGTTCGAATAGCAGCCTCCAAATAATCCCTTTCCGGTTCAGGGGTATAAAAAATGTCTACCGAAAATGCTCGCCCGGGAACGGTCTACAAAAGATGAATTAACGTAAATTATTAGGGAATTCACGGTGGGATCGACAATATCTTCAAAACACTGCTTACGAGAACAGGTGCGTTGTTAAAATATTTTTGAAATTTTTCTGCATCGAGCGTAGCACTCATGACGATGACTCTTAAATCTGGACGTTCTCTGGCGATCTAACGCGCATCCAAATAACGCGATTAGTGTATTTTAACTAAAGAGAAACATATAGTGAACGACCTACGTACTTCTTTGATTAGGCCCATAAGAATGTCAGTGGCAAGTGTGCGTTCGTGAGCCTCATCAAGAATGATCGCAGAATATCTCTCCAGCTTTGGATCATTCATAGCCTCTCGCAATAACATACCGTCCGTAAGATATTTTAAAATTGTTTTCGGACCCGAGCAATCCTCAAAACGAATGTTATAACCAACTTCCTCGCCAAGTTTTACATCCATCTCATCAGCAACGCGCTGTGCCACTGACATTGCAGCAACTCGACGTGGTTGAGTACATGCGATTTGCTTTTTCTTGAGATGGGGTAACTCGTCATAAACCAAAAATTGTGGAATTCTAGATTGAAAAAAAATCATAAGTAAATGATTGCAACGTGAAGACAGCTTCAACGCAAATGAAAAGACGCTCACTGTGTTGTTTTACCAGATCCCGTCTCGCCAACAAATACTACGAATTGGTTATTATGTATCAACTCGAGAAATTCCTCTCTTTGAGCGTGGACGGGAAGGTTTCGGCGATTTTTTAGAATTTCGCGGTATTTATGAGAAAATGGTCTGTTGGTAAAAGGATTAAAGAGACCCTCTTCAGCCTGTCTGGCTTGCTCGGCCGTCGTTTTACCCGGAATAAACCCATCAAGGGGACTCTTTACGGACGTCGATGGTCTCGGACTTTGTGATCTATGAGCTAAGTATGGATTAATTTCCGTCTTTACACGTTTATTTGAGTGATCTGCTGCGTTGCTAGTTTGCACGCTTTCTTGCGGTTTCGCCGCGGGATCTTCGTCTAAAAAAACTCTTTTCTTTGGTGTAGTATTTTGACTGGCCATTGAAAAGTCGCCCAAGAGGCCGAACAAACTTTTTGTTCTACTACTACTAACCTGTCCGACTGCGCCAGATAATGACGTAACAACTCATAACGCCAATTAGATGAAAGTAATTGTAGTAATAAATAAAATATAACAGGTAGAATGTGTTGTCACTCAAAAGTAGACTTTTGCTTTAACCCAAGCCATGGTAAATGCAACACAGACCGAGGTTGCTACTGAAACGGTCGAAAAAACGCAAGAGGCTGCCAAGGAGCTTCCATCAAAGCCTCTTGTTGGAATTATCTACCCTCCTCCCGATATAAGAAGTATCCTATCATTCTGATCGGTAGTGAAATCCGTTGTGTACTTTGCATATTTATCACATATAAGTTTTGATGCGAAAAGACAATCGTTGTCTCTCAACTAGGTGTGCAGAAAGCCCAGTTCACTTTTAAACCAAAGGTGCTGAGAGCCTCGATCTTTTCGCGTCTTCTTTGTGGATATTCCAAACAAATACTCTAGAAATAGATAAGTTTGCCTTATCCTAAACTGTAATATTTTGTAGATATCGTCGATAAGACTGCTGTATTTGTAGCAAGAAATGGAGTACAATTCGAGGAACGTATTAGAGAAAACGAAAAACATAATGCCAAGTTCAGTTTCTTGAATCCAAACGATCCTTATCATGCTTACTATCAATACAAAATTGCTGAAACCAAAGAAGGAAAAGGTAAAGCTATTTGAATATTTTGTATATCAAAGGGCCATGCACTGAACTTCATACATTACATTAAGTTACAACAAAGAAACGTGAAGCAAAGGAAGAAAAGGAGAAGAAGGAAGAAGTTCCCGTGCAAAAGGCACCGCCAAAGGAACCGCCACCGTTTGAATTTATGACGGAAATGCCTGCAATATCAGCGCAAGACCTGTAAGTGCACCTGGAATATTGTTGTAATTTTTATTCTATGAGTCGCTTTCTAATTAATGGGATTTGCAGGGATATCCTCAAACTTACAGCACAATTTGTAGCACGTAATGGCAGACAATTCATGACAGCATTATCACAGCGCGAACAGAGAAACTATCAATTTGATTTTCTTCGTCCCAATCATAGTCTATTTAATTATTTCACAAAATTAGTTGAACAATATACGAAAGTATTGATTCCACCAAAAAATCTCAGCGAGAGATTGAAAGTCAACGTAGATAATAAGTATGAAATTCTGGATCGGGTCATGCGACGTGTAGAGTATGCAGCGTACCAAGAGGAAGAGAGAAAGAAAGCAGAGGAAAAGGAAGATCAGGAGAGAAGTAAGCTGATAGTATTGATTGTGTCTTCTGATTGATGAATTTTGTTTAACCATTGTGCGTTTAGTTGCGTATGCCTCGATCGATTGGCATGATTTTGTCATTGTCGAAACGGTTGAATTTACCGAGGCTGACGAGACCATTGATCTCCCGCCACCAATGAGTATAATGGAGTTGGAAAACATGACGCTTGCTCAGAAGAAGATGGCATCGGTCATGCTGGACGCACAAGTCGAAGACAAAGGGATTGATGAAGACATGGAGGTTGTTGAAAACATTTTAGGAAATATCTGGTTATTGGAAATTGTCGTACTGATTCATTTTGATTCATTCCTACACAGATGGATGAAGATGTTGAAATGGAGGAAGAAGACGAGGATCAAATAGGAAAGAAAGACGAATCAGTCGAGCCAGAACTAGAAGCAGAACCTACAGTGATGGAGATTAAACCGCCGGATGCGACTGCACCTATTAAAATACGTAAAGACTATGTACCCAAAGGTATGTTCATTATAAAGATCTAAAGCGTTCAATGGTAACATGACTCTAATGTAACTTTAAATACGAGTAGTTCTCGCCCCCAAAACATCGGGAACGAGACCGCTGGGTATTTGTCCACGTTGTAATCAAGCCATTCCTGTGGATGAAATGGAAGAACACATGCGAATCGAACTATTAGATCCCAAGTGGAAAGAGCAAAAGGAAGCTGCAGACGCAAAGAAAAAGGAATCTAATTTATTACGAGAAGGTGAGTACTGCGAAACGTTATATTCGTATAATTGTAGTATATCTGGTAACGTTATTTTATTTACATTGTTATAGGAACCGATGTGGCCAAGATTCTCAAAAACTTCTCAGGCTATCGTTCAGATATTTTTGGTACCGAGGAAACTGAGATTGGCAGAAAGGTATGTAGTTTCGCTTGGCTTACGTAAGTAGGTATACTGAAAGACTATGTTTAACTATCACTATGTTGTATTAGATTGGTGAAGCGGAAGAAAAGAGGAAAAGGATTGAAAAAGAAAAGGTTGTCTGGGATGGCCACACTGCTTCGATCAACATGGCTACACAACGTGCAGCTGCAGGTGTGTCCATTGACGAGCAGATTGCAGCTATTCACAGAAGTAAAGGGCTGACAAGGTAACTTTGTTGACACAACTGTTTGCAGAAAATTCATATTCTAATTTCTCGATTATTATAGTGACGGAGATTCCAAGATCGGTCCACGCATACCACAAGCACAAGATTCAACCCACCAACAACAAGCACATATGGCAGCATCACAATTCCAAAATCTTCAAAATCAGCACCAAATGTACGGTTTTCCTCCAGTCCCTCATAATCAAGTTTACTCACCATATGTTCCTTCCTCGGCACCATTTGCTCACCAGCTGTCAGGCTATATCACTTCAGCACACCCACAACATGCTAACATGGCAATGGGTCATCATCATATGTTACAACGCCCTATGCAATCTACACATCGACCACCACAACCGCCAGGCATGCCTCCAGTAATGATGTCACATGTGCAGGGACAATCGCCTATATCTGCAAGCGGAATACCCACATCCATTTCTGCCTACGCAGCCTCTATACCATCGTTAGATAAAGAGAAAGGCCGACTTGCGGAAGAAGACTTGGATCCAACTAACCCGGCAAAGAAACAGAAATTGGATGGTAGTATACCAGCAGGCACTGGTTTCATGAACGATGATTCTATGTCTGGGCATCAGGTAGGGAATTTGATATTAGAATTTATGTAGAATGTACTTATTGCTCGATTATATTAACTGTATTCACTCCCGTAATAGACTTTCTTCACTCTCACCATTCAATGCCCCAACCTGCCTGAAAAACCGGAATGGAATTGTACGGGACAGTCATTGGAAATTGAGGATGTTTCTCTAAATATGCTTGTTTCCACTTTAAAAGACAAGATTGCTGCACGATTGAGTTTTCCTGCTGGCAAACAGAAACTTGCAATTGGGGGTCAAGTTATGAAGAATCAAGTTGCATTAGGCTTCTATAATATAGAAAATGGTACCGTCATATCGTTACAGGTGAAGGATAGAGGTAAGAAGTAATGTTGTACCATACGAGATCATTTTTAAAGCATAGCAATGTAATGTTAATATTTGCATGCATAAAAATATTGTGTTTTTATTGACGTTCTAAATAAATATTTGTACTTAATTTCGAATTGTGCAAATAATAATAATGTATGAGGTTGAATTGGGTGGTTTCATCGTGTATTTAGCTGTAATATAATAATAAGAGAAACGACCTACAAATCCAGAAGACCGCAATGCATACCTTTGTTCTATTTATAGTTTTTTCGATGTTATCACTAAAGTTAACTATCGCGAGGATATTACTAAAATTAACGTAGTAGTAGTGTCATTTGAACATCATGATCAACTGATGTCACATGAGGTTGGGTGACGCATACAACAGATCAATTATCTTGCTGCTGGTAACTACCTGCGGGAAAAAAAAATCCTTGCTCCACTTTTTACTCCTTCAACTTGAGATTATGGAAGAACAAATAGAACAGGCTGTTGCTTGTGCTCTAAGTTCCACTGCAGACCCAAGCCTGAAAGCTCAGGTTGGTGGTGTATCTTCGAACATTGACATGCAATAGGATAGAATGTTCTTTTTTAGCATGCTACGCGTTTCTGTCTGCTGCGGGAATTCTGACCACTACCTTGCTTATATGCTGCCCGAGATTATAAATAATGTGGGAAGGGAACACATATAGATCTTTTTATAAACAGAAACTCTGTAATTGCAAATCAATCTATACTACGTAAACTCATCGTTCGCGTCATAAATAGCAACTAGCATAATAACAATAAAGAATTGCATGAATTGGTGTTGATCTAACTAATTCGTGCTATTATACAATAGGCAATTAAATACTGCCAAGACTTGAAAGAATCTCAAGGTGGATGGCAACCATGTCTGTCATTATTTATACACATACCAAAAAGGTAATATTTGTTTAGTCTCTACCATTTCATACGGCCGTGATCTCAGTATAGATTATTGTCTATCTGTAACTTACTTTTTATTAACCTCACAGTTCACCCTTACCCTCTTCCCGTTTATTTAATCAAATTTTTAATATGATTTGTAATCGATTCTATGTGATTATGTGATCAGTACTCCTGAGGCTCGCATGTTTGCTTTGGATGTTGTTGAACACGCTCTTAAGAATAGGTAAAATCCGCTTGTTGTAATTAATGAATCAGCACGCTGGAAAGCACCATCTCATCTGGATCCTTTGGATTTATTGTTAGTTATGAAGACGTTGACAAACAACAAGTGATGTTAATACGATCTACATTGATGGATTATGTAAAAAGAGAATACTCAGGAGAAGTAGGAAACAATCGGGAATCTGTTGAGCCGTCATGTACATATAAATAATTATTCACATAAACCTAACACCAGATATCCCTATCAAGTATACCATACTGTGTACATTTCTCATACACTGCTTATAGATTATTTATTACGCATTTTATGTAACTTTATAGAAGTGTACTTTCCCTGCCCTGCACATATTTTTTTTGTCATATCTGTACAGACTTCATATCCACTAGCTAATATGACGATTTAATCTTTCATCTTTTTAGTTTTAAAGAATAAATTCGCTCATACGATAACTCTCCTCTTTGTCAAATCATATCCATCTATGTGGAACGATTTCTTCGATGAATTCTTAAGTTTGCTTGCACCCAATGGCTTATCAACGAACAAGCGGATTACAGACCTATTTCTTCGAATTCTACGTTCAATTGACGAGGAAGTTGCTAGTCTAGTAGTACCTCGGGGGAACGTTGAAGCAGCGCGGAATGTTATGATTGTGAGTTTTGCGTAAATTAGATTGTCTGGGGGTGTTTCGTGATTTCTTTCCATTGTTTCTCATCTTTTCTTACTTTTGAGCAGAAAGATACTATGCGAACCGGTGATGTCCAGAAACTTACAACTGCTTTGTACGAGCTGTTGAAAGAATTCCATTTACGTGATGAAGAGATTGTCAATACGTGTTTGAGTGTGATCGGGTTATATATCGGTAAATTTTGTTCGCTGGCTATAATTTATTGCTACTGATTTTGCGTAATTTTTAGTACATCGAAATTGACATTTATTCACCGTAGCCTGGATTGATATCTCTCTTGTTGTAAACGATGCATACATTCCCTTGCTCTATCAGTTCTTGGGAGAAGAAGCATTTCGCAAGGCTGCCTGTGAATGTTTGACTGAGGTTTATATAATTTTATTTTATATTTACTGATTAATTCCGCTATATCAATATATTCAAACTAATATATATTATTGTAGATCGTCAACAAAGGTATGAAACCATTAGAAAAGCTCAGTTTGATCCAATATCTAAATTTGACGGATGTTTTGGGGAAATTGGATTTGGTATGGAGACTTGGAATGCTCATTTTCTTGTACTATACAAATTGTTATTATTCGAATGATTGGGAACTTTTCCTTGGATTGTGCTGACAAGAACCTTCGCATCCAAGGTTAGCGATATACATTTTACGGAATATGTAGCAAAGTTAACCAATGTGTTGGGGATGGAACTATGTAAGATATTCGAAGAGGTAAATACGAATTACGCGTGTGTCCGTTTCAGTCGGTCGACAACTATGATAACATATAACGTAATTTATTAAGACAGAGGGTATAGCAGACGCGACAACGGCCTCTTATAGTCAAATAGAAACTTTAATACCGTTCTTATTAAAATTTCTGGGGGATGAATACGATGATACATCGTCTGCAGTATTTGGTTTTCTGGGATCGTTACAAGGAATCGTAAGTTTGTCTTTCTTACAAGTCGTTCAAGACATTTGTATGTTACTCTTCATTATGATAATAATTGGTTCAATTCATAATAGTTAAAAAAGAAGAAGAAGAAGACGGGAGAACTTACCAGTTCACAACGAGAGCTTCTTCACTCACTATTAAATATTATTGTACTGAAAATGAAGTACGATGAAGATACTGACTGGGGTGGAACAGATGAGGACGGCGAGGATGAAGCAGAGTTTGTCTGCATGCGTAAGGTATGTCGATATCCAAAATAAAGATTATGAAAAAAGGCCCGGATTCTGAAATACCTGTAAAACCTTTTTCTAGAGTTTGAAGGTCTACTTTGACGCAATCCTAGTTCTCGATGAAGATCTTTTTACATCTTACATTCGATCTGCCGTGATTACGACATTGGATAATTACCGTAAGAACGGAAATGAAATCGATTGGAGAGAGTTGGAATTAGCTCTACATGTATTATATTTATTCGGGGAAAGAGGATCGGTACCATTTATTGTTAAACAAGGGAATGAGGTTGTGGGATTAACTCCTTTGGGTGAAATGATGCTGAAGATGATCGAAAGCAGTACGTATTTTTCTGTTGGTATGAAGAAATTGCGAGCTTGTAAATAGGGAGACAAGCATGAGGACCTGTAATTTTAAGAGCATATGGGACTAGTTAACTGGAAGCTAACTTTTTATTGTTTTCTGCTCACATTTAGACGTCTCAACATATCCACATCCCTCAATACCGCTCTACTTTTTTGAAATTGTTACAAGATATTATCAATTTTTCGACTACAGAACAGACTGCATTCCATCTGTGCTTGAGGCTTTTGTGGATACGCGAGGGCTGCATCATTCCAGTCGCCAGATACGCAGCCGCTCGTGGTATTTGTTTCTGAGATTTGTTAAAGCATTAAAGACGCATATGAATGGATTTGTCGATACAGTTCTGGCTAGCATTCAGGTGTGTTGACTGATGGTTTAGATGTATTCGTAATAGAGAAGCTTTAACACGATAAATACGATACGTTGAATAGGATTTGTTAATTGTACAAACAGAGTTACTGCCGAACGAAGGTGCAACTGATGACATTTTAAGCAAAGATAAGGCTATGACGGGCACCTTCAATGATCAGATTTATTTATTTGAGGCCGCTGGTATTCTAATTACTGCTGAATCCGTTTCGCCTGAAAGCCAATTGAGCTATGCAGAGGTATTGTATTTTTCGTTGTGGATGTAAAAGCCCGAGTCTTGAGATTCTATTTTAGTTTAAGCGTGCGCTCCTTCACGCTCTCTCTACTTGATTAACAATGACGTTATTCTTATTACTATATTCTCTATAGGTTGTAATCAATCCGCTACTGTCTGATATCCAACAGAATCTCACAGACTTATCAAGTCATAAAGATAATTTATCTACACTACAAATACATCATTCGATAATGGCCATTGGCAGTTTTGTCAGAGGTAAGTTACAACTAAATCAATAGTCTGAGGAGAGCGTCACATTCATTATACTGTTGGATTTGATATAGGCTTTCCAGACTCCTTAAAAGGACTATCTCATACAACACAATGGAAAGTGTTTCTCAATCGAGTGACAGAAGTTATTCTTGTTGTCCTCAAAGAATTGAGTGGATATCAGATCATTCGAGATGCGGTGAGTGTGCTGTTAGAATGTGATTTTATTAGGATTGATAATGACAGGAGCAATTATTAACTTATTACTTGTTGCGCAATGATAGGTTAGATTTACATTCGCTCGATTGGTGAAAGCATTGGGAACGGATGTTCTTCCTTATTTGCCCACTCTGATAAACGCTTTGTTACGAGACAGTCAGATATCAGAACTAATAGATGTATTGCCGTTCATAGGACTTATTGCTCATAAATTTAAGGTAGCTAACGGTTTTGTTAAAGCCTTTATGTAGTGTAATCCGCTGATTAACTGATTGTATGGATCGCTAACGTCTCTTCCGTGTCTATTATTTCGATAAAGCCAACGATCTTCAATACTATAAACGATTTGACGTTGCCACTCGTACAAAAGGTGTTTACCTGTTTTAATCAAGCACCGTCTGGGACGGATGAAACAAGGCTGTTAATAGACCTTCGGAAGGCATATCTTAATTTTGTACTTGCATTATTTAACAGTAGGATGGAAGCCGTGTTTGTCAGCGAATGTAAGTAAAGAAACACTTTCTCAATTATTCATTTCTTAAAGGGAAAGCTACATCTCTTTCCATTCCAGTTCACGATAACACGACGCATGTTACATCAATCATATTGCGTGTTATCGGATCTTTATCATTTATCCTTATTGACTGGCATTTCTTCCACAGTAAACCAACCAATTCTAGAAACATTTCTTCAATTTATTATCCACTGTGCTAGCGATACATCTGATATACCAACGGTTAAGACATCATTTAACGTTCTCGCAAGAGCCATAAACTCCTGGGGCAGCAATGAGGAGGCAACAGAGAGAACTCCAGAATCAGTTGAACCAGATCGACCATTGCCTGGATTTGAAAAGTTTATGTATGAACATATACTGCGCGTGTGTTTTGAAATGCCATTGAAGCCAGAATTTAATCTCAACGACGCGCAATCTGTTATGGTAAGAAAGGACTACATTTGGTTTTGATTGTCGGGCAACGTACGGTCTAATCTGGTTATAACGAACCTTTACCATAACGAGGATCCGTTTATATAAAGATTATCTCCAAACTAATCATTTACATGATTGTAATCTTTGCTATGAAGAGACCTTGGTTATAAGGAATATTTTTTCCAGACCCATAGAATGCGTTATAACCAGATTACACTAGTATTAATAGAAATGGCTACAATGTAAACGGAAGGATTTCGTCTTGGTTAAAATTATTTCAAAAATCTCCAGGTATTATCCGAAATAACAAACATACAAAGAGCAATGTTAGCAAAACGCCCAACCGAATTTCCAAAATACCTGACGTCAATCTGGTTTCCGTCTATGCAATGTCCTCCTGAACTTGCTGAGGAGTATATAAAAGCTCTACGAGAACCAAACGCCAGAGTGTTTAGGAAGTATTTCCAGGTTAGTATTTGTCGACATACATACTTCTATGTAGGGTTATTTACTTGTTTGATTAATGTATTATTATCTTATAGGCATTCATCCATCGCTCTAAATCATAATACAGAAGAAAGAGTAGGATATATGAAATGTATTCTGCTATTTCCACCATACCTTTATGTTCATTGCTTTATAGACGGTATCGCTGCTTCTCAGTCACATTTGCATTTTATCTATACAATTTTTCTGTAATACTTGTGCCAATAGAACCATTCGGAAGTTTTTACGCAGTTAAAATACAGACTCGTTCAGTAGAGGCTCTATCCAATTGTCTTTGTTTTATGTCTGTTTCCTTCTTACCAAGGGCAATTGCAATTCCAAATGGAAGTCATGAAAGAAACGTATTTTCAAACCCACATGAAGGAAGAAGAGACTATGCCGAGCGTCGCGTAATTTGCAATTCATGAATACTATGCAGTATCACATTTTGGCACAGATACGTGAGAACCAGAGCAAATATGGTCCAGTTGCCGTTAAATGGGCTTTTTCACCCATGAGCTCGATAACTTGTTTCCACCGCGTTTCCTCCATGAATAGTTATTGGTTTGTCTGCTACATCCTCGGCAATGCTACTTCAGTATGTCACCTTATAGTGTTAGCCTATAGAGTTAAGTATAGTATAAATGACAGCCCAAAAGACTAACAGCATATTTTTACCAAGGTAATTATAAAGATAAGTTCCTACTAAAGGGAACTAAAATTCTTTAAAAATCACATTTCTGTAAATGGTACGGTATTTTAAAGCGAAAGGTTCTATTCTTCTCTTGAGCTGCAGCAACTTAATCTAGGCGATTTAGATAGTCACCGCATACTGAATAGTTGCATTGTTCAACTCTTTCGTGCAATATTTTCCAGTCAGAATTTGATGCCGTGTAACAATAAAGACAAGATTTAGATAAGTGATAGAATCTATTCCGCAAAATTACTTACTTTGTTAGATTTTGCCATTGTGAACTGTAGCATAAACGTATCTCGCGTGACAATTTGAGGCATTCAAAGAGATTATAATTACAAGAAAGGCTTTCCAAGAATAATTGTTCGTTCTATACAGTCAAACCTCGATATAATGAAATCGAACAAGACGGGAATTTTCAACTTTCTCACTAACACGATTATGCTGTTATGAAATCTACTGTTTAATGTGTACCGTTCAATTATGATTCTTCTTTTTCAGCTTTATGCTGTTAAATTCTCTCACCTCAATATTTTAATGCTTTATTATAACACGTATTTATGTTTTATTAGCGTTTGATTTGTTTCTTGAAAGGGTTGATATCGAGATGTAGTCTACTAATATTTGTTTGAGAAAACACTCCCTAACGAGAATTTGCTATATAACTTCATCATATTGGGTGAAAATTTGATAGGCTGTTTAGTGTCAAATTCAGTGTCAGTATATCGAGGTTTGATGTTATCAAATTCGGATTATAATTCTTAAGCTTGGTCCCATGGACTTCAGATTAGAAGTTGACTGTGTATTAACCATTCATCGGATATACCCATTAAGTCAATTCACAGCAGGTAATACTCCGGTCAAACTAATAATAATAATAATAATAAAGATATAACATACCGCATTACATTCATTTTGCAGCTAAAAATCTAGTGTAAATAATCCAAGACTACAATTCAAAATTCTAGTCTTTCATCACTTCTTTTATTACTATACTTCCTCTTTTTTAATGTCCTTGTCAAGATGCTTAACATAAATTTTCCGGGTAGGGTCCATGAACCGCTTTACTATATCGTCAGTAATAGCAGCTTTGCGAGAATTATATTTTGCCATGAACTCCTGCAGTTCTTTAATACAACGTGCTTTCAGCTCCCCAGTCATCAGAACGCCATCTTTGTAGTTCTAATGAATATGATCCGGTTAGTATATTAGACAACTAAACAATCCAAAATGACGCGATTTTCTACCTTGTATATAGTAGCCAGTTCTTCATCATCGTCAAGAAACATGGTGAGATACTGATACGCAACATCGACGTCTGGATTACCACCATATTTTGCATGGAGTTCCTTTGTATCCCCACCTCCTGAGAAAGCATATCTATTAATCTAAAAGATAACCGCACATTAAAAGTCAGAAAGATGTTTTTATCGGCGTGCTTGAAACATTGAAGTGTCCCTTACCTTGTTCTTGATCTGATTTGGTGTGTCGGTTAAGAAAATCGCCGAATTATCAACTGATGCTGACATTTTTGTTTGCGGACCCTGTAGCGAAATGGTTTCTAATCAATTTCATACCTATTGTTTCGATGCCATTTACGTAACTGTACTAACCTGGAGTGCAGGGAAGAACTTTGCATGTATCAGGCTGGGTTTAGGATACTTAAGTTTGTGGGCTACATCACGTGTCAACCTAAAGTAAGGATCCTACACAGCAGAAGGGTGTGAAATGAGGCATGTGAATCATTTAACTTCGCATGATAATATATACCTGATCAATAGCGCAAGGAATCAAACATGGAATATCACTTTTCGTGCCAAAAATTTGTGGAAATGAATTGGAAAAAGAAGGCGCAGCTTGAACAGCAACAAAATGAAGCTTGCCAATGCAGTCACTATCATTGAACCCAAACGTCGCTTTGGATTGACTTGCTGTTATACATCGTGATATTTTGACTATATTCTTGTAGAATGCACCCCTTTACGAGTAAGCTTGTCAGAATACATGGGCCAGTCGGGGCACAAGACATAAGATCGTTCTTAGAGAACATACCCGACATATTCGAAATCAGAAAATATAAAAGTCTTCTCAAGATCAAATCCACAGGCAATAATGTCTTTGGCATTTGAATAAGAGTATTCTCGTGCTTTTTCCGCAGTGAGTCCATTCTTGAACAAAAATTTTTCATCATCTATTACGAGAAATAGTTTTCTATCGCTTAAACGCGAGTTCATTCGATTATTGCTTCGCGAAAGAATGCTTCTTACCGGTCAACTGAATCACTAGTGGTACATCAAATACTTCCTGTAGCCATCTAGTTACGAGCAAAAGTTGTAAGACCCAATATAAAGGGAGGGCATAATTAGGGGGGGGGGTGAACCTACTGGCAGAAAACAAATGGAATCATATGCCCAAGATGCATGCTGACACTGCTTGGTCCGCGTCCCGTATATAGAAAGAAAGGTTTCTTCTGCTCGTAGCGATCAAGGATTTTTGTAAGCTCTCTTTAGACCGAATGTGAATCAAAATATTAGGAACAGTGCGTAGCGAATATAAAAATTATCCATCATAATTAATCCCTTCATTTACCTATGGGAAAAGAATACACCACGACGAAGAAGTACGTGTGGTCGTCTCCCAGTCAACTGCTCGAACCGTTGCAATATCTCAGAATTGATGGGCCTCGTCCCAAATTGTTCAATCAATCTATCGTAATCTATAGCCCGAGCCTGTCCATCAACTACCGCTCCCTCGACTTCCCAGGGTGTCACTATTTGGTCATGAGAAGTCTCTTGCTGCGTATCCGCAGCTGCGGGAGGCTCTTTACTAGAAGAGTACATAAGATTGTTCGATAATTGATTATAAATTAATGTAAAAATGACAACTACAAACGATCAACACACTCATTTTTAGTTTCTAGTGCATCTGCGTTTTGTTGCGACATGTCGTTAGGTTTAATTAATATCGATATCTGCGGAATCGCCAACTTTAAATAAATTTTTTACGTGGCACGTGAAATATACGAGCTACTAATTCTTTGCGATGATACGGATTCTGTGAAAATGTGGAAATCGAATACAGTAAAAAACTAATCCGTCAATTTTAAAATTTTAATCGACTAAAAAGTTTTAAGGTTTAAGCATTTCAATTATACAATAAATGCGAGCAGGCAAATTGGTAACATTCTTGGTTGTTTCAGTATGCCTTGACCAACTAAAAGAAAGCACCCATGGAGAGGAGATAAACTCACATGGAGCCAACGGTTATGGGATTGCGTGACGTAATGTTTTTAGCAACTTTCTCAGCTTCTCAGTATACTAATCATGCCTTTTCCTATGCCCCCATTAATTTATTAGCTTTTGGGATCAATGTCAGTTAAATGTCGTATGCGCTAGCTTATGATAAACAACTTCTACCAAACTTCTGGTATTAAATCACTCAATAAAATCCTTTTTGCTTTCAAAGAATACGTGCAGACCCATTTGTCAAAGTTTATCCATAACGAGGAATGAGACATTTTTTCTTTCTCAGAAATGCTATTTATTTGTTAGCCATCTTTTTTCACCATGTAATCTACAATTAATTCTTTCCAAAGTTCTGCTTGCTGCTCTTGACGTTTTTGTAAAATTTCTTTTATCGCTTTATTAATAGAACGGCTAATTTCTCTTTTAGTAACCAAATTTTTATCCTGATATAAGTTTCTTCCTGAAAATGTTACCACAATATAATATTTAGAGTATGTAGGGACAGTCAGACATAAACGCAAAACTGCTTTCCTCAGTGTGTGAGTTTAAGATACCAAATAATTGCACAATTCATTAAGTAAAAGCTCCGATGAGGCAAGTATTGGTTTCAGAACTAGAGCAAGATGTCAGCGACAGACGTTGAAGTGGAACTAGAAGTCAAATTAAAAAATTGTATTATGACAAACGAGGGTCAGGTGATTCGTGGACGTAACCAAGAGGTTGAAAGAAATAATTACCAATTTGAACCAGCGCAAGTTATTGCAGCAGACGAAGAACTTGCTCGTCGTCGGAGAACCGGAAAAAAAATTTAAAGAAAATTTTTGATAGAATGTCAAAAAAAAAGCGTGTTGGAAGAGAGCTATTTCTAAGTATTCTGCACTCTATTAAAATGGAGTTAACAATCGCGGGAGAGCAATCGATTGCTTCTTAGAATTTGGCAGTTTTCACGAAACTTTGGTTTCTAGTAAATGCAATGACAGTTATTAAGCTATACTGCCACGACGTTACGTCAACCAGTAGACACATTCGGGTTACTCTATTATTCTCTTCCGACGGGGTTAATTCGGAAGCCTATAGGTTAGGATTTACTTGTATCTATCTAAAAATGCATTTCTCCTTCGTAATACCACACGAATGTCCACAGGACAGGAAGCGGATATTCTTAATTAATAAATGGGTTACTGGCCCAGAGAATGAATTGTTATCAAAAGATATACCGCATTTCAAGGTATATAAACTACTCGTTTATTAAGAAGGAATATTAATTTAAAGAGAAGTCGCGCTACAATTTTTGTGGTACTGTAGATAAATTACGTCATTCTAGCATTTTGACGCGCGTATAATTACTTACTCTCCATATCACTTGTTCTTTCTTTTCTATTTCCGATGGTCGCTCTCTTGGTTTTGGCATAGTTCATACAATGATAGCAAAAATTCTTTTGTCATCACAAACGTTCAGGTAAACGAACAGTTTGGTTCTCACAATTTTTACCATGACCCATTGGAGCTGAGACATCTTTACTTGGACTTGTGTACTAATACAAGAAGCGTTACAAGGATTATTACAACAAAGGAGAATCGACTGTGTACACGGACGTCATGGCACTAGTATCAAACAAACATAAGTGTTGTACCTCAGTTGGGAGCAATACCCCAAGTGTAATATATTTTTCTAATTATACATACAATAGAAGCAAACACCATTTACTTGTTGTATTCGAGTTCAGGACCTGTTTCCAGTTACTCAGTCCAGAACTCATTGTCTCAGTTCCGAACCCAAACACTCGATCCAGAACTCAGTTGTCTCCAACTAAGGTACTGTATATTATTGCCAAATAAGAATGCCAATTCAGCATTCAGTTGAAACAAGCCTTCTTGGTATTATGAAATCTAATGTGAAAAGTAGCACTTTACATCTTGAGTATTTCTCGATGTATTGTATTAGTATCATAAGAATACACGATATAGTAATAGGAATGGTATCTTAGATATTAATATGCATGTATTTGTGTGCGTTTTAGAAATTTATTTTCTAGAGAAGAAAAAAGAAAACGCAAAAAGTAAAAAGCTGGCCCTGGAAAGGCGTGAGAAAAGTTTTTCTACGGGACCAGGAACATTTATCAAACTTTATAAAAATATAAAGTAGCAAAGCATTGTAAAAAAAAAGTAGAAGGTGAAAAAAATCAGAGATTGTAAGTGAAAAACTAAAATTTTTTTTATGTGTAAAATTTTATATACTCGCGTTTTTTTATCTGATAATCCTATCTTATGTACGCAATTGGTAGTATATCAAGCTAGAAGTGTTGCCAAGGAATTTATTAGGCGCTCGTTGCCTTGAATACTTTCAATTTGAGTGCTTATTATTATTTATATTATAAAAAATTTCAGTTTCTACCGGCGGCTAGAAAGTTTACCGCGGGTGTATATATATAATAGTCATTATTCTCGCAGAGCTTAGCAAACGTCTCACCGCCACCGATTATTGATTATCCTGCTGGTTCATTGCTAGCGTTTGTAAACGAATAAGCTGAAGACTATATCCAGTATTTGATGTCTTTCGCGTTTTACTATTCTCTACTATGTATTATTTTTGGGAACGATCAAAAGTGATAAATGATGGCGCGATTACACAATAGTCATTTCTAACTAAACAAGTACTCCCGTCATTATTATGTTTGTAAAAACACATTTGAAAAGTGTCAGTAAAATAAGCGAGGACTTATCTAGCCATTTTGTATGCCACATCTCAGACTGGGTCTATTTTGGGGGTTGGTCTTTTTTTATCAGTAGCCGTGGTTAAATTGGTTGGCACTTTCTTTTAGTTTTCTTCAAAATCTTTAACTTCCTCTTGCTACCAATTTTTTTGCTATAATTAAAAACGGATGACACTTAAGTTGTGCAGAAAATTGCAGCCGCATCGATTGCATGTATCAGTATTATAATAATAAACCTTGTCCCATAGAATAATTTGACGATTGGTTCGGATCTGGCGAAGAAGTTGATCACTATTGCAAATATTTCAGTTCCACGGTTGCCAAAGCCTTGATATTATCAGAGTAATATTATGATGTCTCTTCTGCAGGACTTCGTAATTAGCAATCGGAGTATGTCACCCGCCAGCTGTCTCAGCGGCAAAAACCGAATAACGACGCATATGTGAGCTTTGCTTGCTCCGTAGAGTTGTCCCATTTACTTCGCATAATAACAGACTCTCTAGTTATAATTCCAAATCTCTGGGTGTTTCTTTTAAGACACCAGAATGTTGGATGAATGGAAAAATATTTTATGCTAATGAATCTGGCATGAATACCACGTAAAGCATTGTTGCCACCATATGATAGCTGCAGCATGTTATAAATATAACAATAAATGTCATTGTTATATCAGACTCATAATACAATATGATTTTTGGAAAATACTTTTTTGGTATATTAAGATTTATTTAAATTATCCCAAAATCTTCATTATGGACAATTTCTGGCGGCTGCTAATCGTGTTTAATTAGTCATCATCTATTATCGTTCACCAATACATCCGTCCTACAAATATAAACAAAAATAAGTTTGATTTTCATTCGAATTATCGATTTAGCTTTCTAATTAGACATCTCCTTACCTTCTCTAACATTAATACAATCTGATGGCAAATCTCACTAACACTTTGTCTACTGATATCACAAACAAGATTCGCGTCTGTCGGCTTTTCGTACGGATCATCAACGCCAGTAAAGCCCTTAATTTCGCCTAACTGAGCTTTTTTATATATGCCCTTGCGATCCGTTTTAATACAATATTCTAACGGAGTCGCAACATGGATAAGATAAAAGCTGCCATATTGCTCAACTTGTGCTCTAGCATGAGCTCGAGCTTCAGCGAACGGGGCGATGGGTGCAGCAATAACGGCAGCTCCAGCTTTAGTCAACTCTGCTGATACAAATCCAATACGAGCAATGTTTTGATCTCTATCTTTCCGTGAAAAGCTCAACTCGGACGATAGCTCATGTCTCACCGTCTCCCCAAGCAACAAACTGACACTTCTTCCTCCTTGTTCGTTTAGTTTCACTTGTAGTGCTTTAGCGATTGCATTTTTTCCACTGTTGTAGAATCCTGTTAGGAACAATGTAAATCCCTGTTTCGACCTAGGGGGATGAGTCTCGCGTAGGACTTTCACCACTTCAGGATACGAAAACCACTCGGGTATGTGTCCTCCTGTGCGAAGACGACGACGGAGCTCTGTCCCGGAAATGTTAAGTGTTGTCGTCCCTGATGGAATTTCGTCAATTGGGAGGTATTCGTCAGAATCAGGGATATAGGTTACCATTTGGAATGGTACTACCTCGATATGTAATTCGTCCTTGTATTGTTTTACTAGATGCTAATGTTTCGTAGGTAAAGACATTTATAAGCAAAATAGTAGTAACATTACTATAACAACAACGGGTACTTAATCATTTCCATCAAATGTTCTCAAGTTCATTTGATCACAAACCTGGGCGTCATAGGGTCCATAAAAGTCCTCTCCTTTGGAATTCTTTCCGGGGCCGGCGTGATCACGTCCAATAATAAAATGAGTCGCTCCGAAATTCTTTCTAATAATAGCGTGCCATACCGCTTCTCTTGGTCCTCCCATTCTCATAGCTAAAGGTAATAGACTCAATGCTGCCATTCCATTGGGATATTTTGGCATAAGCGCTTGATATACTCTAACACGAGTATAATGATCAATATCACCAGGTTTTGTTAATCCCACTACGGGATGTATGAGCACATTTGCTTGTCGTTGACGTGCAGCACGAACGGTAAGCTCTCGATGGGCTCTGTGCATCGGATTTCGCGTCTGGAAGGCGACTACTCGCGTCCAATTTAGTTTTTTAAAGTAGGCCCGAAGTTCTCTGGGCGAGACTTTAAAAGAGAAAAGACGAAAAGAAAATGCAACGAGGTTTAGTTCCATTTATATGAGTAGTTTTCCAAAGTCGTCGTAATAGATTCGATAACTTTTTCAAATCTTCAACGCTTTCTTAACTCAACGTCAAGTGCTGATAACCATCTTTCTGATCAACCGAGTCCCCCCCTCAAATTCCCCCTAAACGAAATAACTTACATCTGTGTGATACATAATCATAATGTATCGGTTCCTGAATCGCCTCAACATTACCGCCCAAGTAGAATCGTTTGACATTCTCGAACAAGTACTTTATCCCCGGATGTGCCTTATCGTTCGATCCAAAGACATTAATTGCTTCGAACTGTTTATCAGGTTCATAAATATCATCAATAGTTAGGATGGCCAAAGGTGAATCGTTACGCGGATCTCGAAGTGTGACGCGACTGCCTGGTGATAGACCAAGATTGGAGATGTCTTCTTCAGAGACATCGAGCGTTATTGGCATCGAGAAAAGGATTCCGGAAGATAGACGGAGATTGGAGACCACACTGAAAGATTGGGTAATGTTTAATTCACAGTATCTATCTGGACATCACGTAAAATTATTGTGTATCCGATCTAATGTATTATTTACCTTTTGTAGTCTTTCTCTGTCAAAAATCCTTCCAATGGAGAAAATCCTCCATTCATGATCAATTCCAGATCACATAGTTGCCTGTCTGTTAATACTATCGATGGCAATGTCTCGGACTCGGCAAGTAGGGTCTCCTGCTTATAGGAATCTCTCGCGTGTAGATCCTTTAATTCTCCGCCGTGAGGGGTATTGGCCATGTCTGTGTGTTACAATTTCAATACGATCAGCTTTAATCCGATTCTGTACGGGACGCCTCTCTTATATAAACGAGGACAGAATAAATATATTGTATATCATATAGAAGTCAAGCACGCAATCCTTACCGCATATGTCGAAATTTTTTACGTGTGTGCGACATGATGGGAAAGATAATCGAAACCAAATTTGTTCTCGCATGGCTCCTGAAATAAAAATTTTTTATGCAAGCTCATTCTCGATAGTCCGGAAATCGCTTAAATGGGAAATTTAACATACTGATTTGCCATAATTGTTTATCCGGACCTGAAGATCATGGTCCTTCTAACATCTTATCTTATCACAAATTGACGCTCCGGATCAGCCCGATGACCGGTCATGTAGCTAGACGTTGAATCATTCAATCTGCACCCGGAAACACTCCTTCACTTATGACGGAACATACAAGTTCCTATCATGAGCTCGACTGGTGTGGTCAATTGAGTATTCCTAGGAAAAACGTCCGGTTTCCTTAGATAACATGTACCCCGCTTTTTGCTGACAAACACAAAATGCTCGGTGATACAATGATTTATTTACACATGTCTCGGCATATCATCTTCAACTATTCATGTCAAAAAGAATAAGGTCGATAGTCGGCCGAAATACCGAATATTAACATCTTTTCACTTCTGAAGAACCTTTTGTTTCTCCAGAACAAGTGACTTTTCGGTTCGGTGGCAAGTCACCTGACGATTATCATGATGTCGACATGATTATTGCTATGCGTTCGAGCGAATGACTATTTCCAAAAACGCTTAAACTTTAATGAACAAATGAGCCTCGTTATTTTGAATCGTATAACCGTATTAGTATGACAACACCATATGGTTATCATGTTTTGGAATAGAATTTTCGGTTACGCTCAAACCCGCTATAGTAATAATAGTAAGTCTCGTTACAGTCTATTAGTAAGCTTTTCTCGGAGGGCATTGCAGGCGTTTAAAGACGGGCAGTTGTAACTCCTTTTTAATAACAGTTCGATGTAAGGTACCTCGATGCGGCCTTTCTGAGCTATTCATTGTATGATCCATTTCACACGTGACAAAGTTGATTGATGATGACAAATACATTTTTATTGCCGAACGCCAATATTGCTGTCAGGATAATCTATCAGTACATCCGCATTCTCCATTTCTTCCTCTGTGTCAAGACCTTTTCTTTTTCTGCAGGCCCTATAATAATAACATTTTAATTATTATTATGTCATTATTTAATGTTTAATGGGGTTTTCCGTATCGTCAATGACGTCAATAAATTTACAAGTTAATCTTACGTTAGAGTACTGTAAAAAAAGTTAAACGGCCTCAAAAAATTATCCAGGTGACAACTGATAGTATTCAGATAATATAAGCATCTTTCTGATTCTCTTCAAAGGCATTGTGGGTGACTGAAATTTCAACACTCATCTCTGTTCGAGAAAGTTTATGCTGTGTTATCAATATAATGGTATCGTAAAGAATAGAACGGCCGAATTGGCGATGAATAACGAAAGAAGCAGAAGTATAACTTATGATAAGTTGTTAGAACGTCTTGGCAATACCTGTGAATATACAGCTTCCATAAATCTCCCAAATAAAATGACTCGGACGTCTATGAAGTTTATTAAAATATCGAGATAATGAAGTTATACTATTAGTTTCATTTCAGAACTGACTATTGATTTCAAAAGATTATGAATAGCATGTCTCAATACAGTGCAATTTGACAACGTGATTGAAAATTCAGCTACGGCGCGTCAAATCATGTGACTTCGAGGATCTCAAGCTAACCAGCTAATACATTTGTCTCCCAGTATTAGTATTCGATCTACATTCAGACTTTGAAACGCCTCACATCTGTCGCTTATAGAGTACATCAGAACTATTTATTCAAGCTCTGCCACATTACGAAATTCTCATACTTGGGTTTTTCAAATAATTTAGATGGTATGACTATAACTATGATAAGCAAATGCAATGGTTGACAACAAAAACCATAGTAAGAATAATTGGTACATGCTGTAAATAACAAATATTGTCTTCGAATAAACATACTAGAATAGAGAGTTCGTGTAATTTAATGCGGCTAGTCTACTTCAAACTACGTAATAACGCTTTTTCATATATGAATAAAATTTGGTATGCTTAGTATTAGTAGATTTAAAAGAGTACTTTAGGGACAACATTAAAATATCTCTGGTAAATTTTATCTAAACTCACATTGATAAAACTTTTGATATGTTTATACATTATGCAGTTATCCAAAAATCTGTCTTAATTCAGCAAGGTGTGACCAACAATTCAGATAACTTTTTTGATCGGAGAAAAATCATTTCATACTAATTTATTATCAAAACAAATAATTAACATTAGTAAAAAGTATAGATTAGAAGTTCAATTGATTATCATGAAGGAATGGTATTAAGTAATCAATACAGCAAAGCACGCAGTAAGACACAGTAACATTTCAGTTAACTGACTTAATTATCTGATAATACTCTAGAACACAATTGCAATGGCTCATCGTCCATCCAATTTATACGTTTGGAAAACTCTCTCTGTGCTTTTTTAAAAGCAAAAACCAATTACAAAAAGCAAAAGATATGTCACTCCAAACATTTGGTCATCTCAATTATACTATACTATAATGCCAACTCAATTACTGAAAATACATATTAATTTACTGTGGCACTTTGCACTCGTAATGTTGTTTCACTAACCTTGGATGTACTTTTAACATAAAAAAATAAATAAATAGTAAACTAAAATGTACTCCATCTCAATAACAAAAAACCCGTAGAGTAACGAAAATAAGACAATTGTACACAGGTAAAGCCTGTGTCTAAACCGATGCCGATTAACGGTCTCGCGTTTAACCGGCTGCCTCATAATTACACCGAATCTTTATTAATTAGAAACATTTTCCAGCTAAACAATTTTCCCGAACCGGTCTTTGGTTAATCGGCAGAAATAGCAAATTAGGCCCACCGGTTTAAACAAGTTTTACCGTAATCCAGTTTGAGTGCATACTTTATTTGTTTTGCTTTGTATTAAATTTAGCACATATACAGCAGACTTATAAGAATATTTCGACAAAGACACAAGGTAATGAGGCAAAAAAATACGAGTTATGACTGTACAATAAGAACAGTACCTTTGTGTCTACCAGTAAGATAAACCCAAAGTTTTTAATGTTAATCTTTTTGTAGCGTTGCCATATAATTTTTTTGTCAATAAAACATTTTAGAGATATCTAATAATTTATTCTTGTTTATTAAACGTCATTGTAAATAACACAGTCATAACATTTTTATAATCAATGTTAGAAAAGACAAATGAAAATTATAAATTAGGATGTGCCCTCCGAAATTTAGAATGTTACTATGAACGTAATAACTAAAAGTTTAGTAGACAATAGCCGAGTTTCTTGAGCTAGATAATATATTTCAGCGACAAGTAACGTTGAGACAGCAAAATGCCCAAAACCTTGTATGTAGCAGATACGAGTTGTCTGCAAAACGCATGCACTAATGGTTGATGTAGTTACAGAGAAGGCAAAACAAAAGTGTGACATGACAGCGTTAATTGTAAAATAATTGAAGTGTGCACTATTAATTAATTGAAGAAATGGGCTTTATCTTAATTTGTTTAGACGTTGCATAAAACAGTGAATATTGTAAATAACGGGTATTTTGACGATTTATATACGACATATAGTAAGGGACTGTAATTTTTGACATTACCAGATTGGCGTCGAAATAATCATTATCGGGGAAAATAACCCCGTTTTGTAGCCGGAGTTTTAAACGCGCACAGAATTTAAGTTCCAGAATTTGACTGATGAAAACAAATTGCATTAATTAATTTAATATTGAATTAATTATTCTCTCAATGATTAAAATACTACTATAAAAATTTTAACGTTTCTATTTGTTGTTCTCAAACAAAGATTCGAGCCTTAAGTTTTTATATCTCTATTCTAATTGTGTTAATTGACTGTTATTCCTAAACAGCTTGCAGACACATTAAAGTAACAGACATATTTTTAGGCTATACAATAGTTTTATTATTTATTTATTGTTTCATGCTACCATTACTATTGAGTAGCAACTTATTATAAAATATTTCACCCAACTCCATAATTTTATATGCAATGTTCTATCCTCAGTCCGCTGTTCAGCCTTTTTTCACGTCGAATGACGTAAGAATCATTCATCATACGATAAAAATATTCACAGACGAAGTTTCTATCACTATAGGGAGCCTGCATGTGCATGCATGCGGCGCCATACATCTACCTGGTTCCGGCCAGTGAACTGGTGCATAAAGTTTACGGGAGATGAAGCCCAATCTTCCGAGTGTAACCAAATCGTAATATTTACGTAATACAAACATTACACAATAATATCGATCCCGACCCGATTAAAACTAGTCCCGATGTTGGCAGTGTGCAAGATGCAAGCCAATTGGCATGTGCATAAAGCAATAATGCATGCTTTTAACTAAATAGGCGTCTCAAAGAGAGGCTTCGCAACGATTATAACACTTGCTGCAGAAAAACTACGCATTATCAACAGTGATGCCATTGTAAAAAAATGATACTATTGATCATGTTGTATCACGCAAACAATAACCCTTTTGTGCTAGCACTAATGGTAAGCTAATGTTATACAAAGGACAAATATTTGTATATAAAAGCTACAAGTATTGTCGTCGTCGTTATTTATACGCTGTTGTTGGACGGGTTTACCAGGTTGGTAAAAAACACTGAATATGATTGTTCTATTGCTCTCAATTAACATTCAACCATGTCATAATACTTATTTTCAATAGCATGACTCGTCTACACCAGAAAGCGTATTCAACTTTAAATTTACTCTCATTCCATTCATTTGGTCTATATATTCTCTGCGCACCTGGTGCTTATTCCGCTTACTACAGTCAAAGACCTAGTACCAGCCATTGGGTTTTTTGGTATTATGTCGGTAGTGGTGGTCGCGAGTGCGGGAACATTTGCATAATCACCTTCGCTGTTGTCTGCATACTTTTGCTGCTCTTACTGTACAGAATATATTCCATTTGGAGGTCACATCGTTGGGATAAGAAATTGGATAATGTACAACTTACAGAGAATGGAACGGCAACGGGAGTTGGAGGAAAGTCTGAAAAGTCTCGATTATCAAGCTCGAGCGAGAGTAGAATTGAGCAGGGTTACGGTGTCAACAATGAGAAGAAAAGTGATGGCACTAGTGATTTCATAGAGAATGCCAAGCCTGGCCCTGTCACTCCTCCGCCTGTTTATAGTAATATTTCTCATTCCATTACGGCCCCCACCCCTTCTTATTCCATGTCCTCCATGTCCTCTACGGCACCTCTTCTTTCATCCAAATTTGTGGCCGAAAATCCGACTCAGGATTTACCGCCGTTGCGCGAACAAGTAGCGTTCATTCTTTCCAATGGCGCAGCGGAATCTTATAAGCTTGCTCCTGTTGACGAACCATTAGAAAGAAATCTCCTCAAAATTGATAGTGATGGAACTACCGCGAGCTTTAATGGGACAAGAGTGTCATGTCAGTCCAATTATCCTTTCCTTGTAATCAGAAAGAGCGATTATGCCAATGACGACGAAGATTCTCTTTATCCTCCGCTCCAAACACCTTCTTCTTCTCCTCCTCCACCAAATCTTGCAACATCTCCTTTCCATCAATTTTCACCAACGACTCAGTATTTTGATCCCGCAAACGTAACATATACGATGCCAGCACCACAGACAGAAGGGAAAATCCCCATACCATCTTCATTGAGCTCTATTGCAGAATTGCCTGATTCGCCCGTAGAATTAACAACGCCCACGCAAGAACAAAGTGGATTAGTGAAGAAAGATATTGAGATTAAAAAGTTAAAAGAAAAGGAGAGTTTGACAAAAACAGATACAGACAAAGAAGGGAATAGCAAGGGCGAACTGTGTTATTTTGAGATGACTGTGTTGGAAAATGAAGGCTTGACTAATACTATTGCTGTAGGAGTTGCTACCCAGCCATATCCATGGTCAAGGTGAGTTTGAAAGTGTTATATCAGAATTCCTAGTATTTACAAACTTGAGCAAGTATTGTTGGATGATAGTCATTTCACTGTAGTTTTGACTAATTCTTTCCATTTAATCACCGTCAATGTCAGTTTCCCTGGTTATTACCCTCACTCTGTAAGTTTAAATACAAGTGGATATGTTCACGCCTCTTCTCACGCATCCATTTCATACTCAAATGCTTGGGGAGACATTGGAGATACCGTCGGATGCGGATATTACCCGAAAACCGGAGAAGTCTTCTTTACGATAAACGGCTTAAGGCATCAAGTTGCATATACGGGGCCGCAACATGTATGGTATCCCTGCATAGGGGCTGATGGAAGGTGCAAAGTTAGCGTTAACTTTGGCGAAGAGAATGGGGATACGTTTATATTTAACGAGGCGAGAGGATCAGGAAGTGTTGTTGTTATCGATTGATAAACGATGGGTTTGTGGTTTTATTTGTGATTTATGTATTAGTATTTATTTATTTTATTTATTGTATTTAGCAGCATGGTCATCTGTCTTGATTCTGTTATATTAAATCAAGAGCAAGTTGTTAGCATATATGCGAGTTTTTTAGTTATCTCCAAGTTAAATCGATATGGTGCACTACAGCTGCATTTGAGTATTAGTATAGCATTATGTACAACTATTTGTGTTATTATTATGTCTTCTTACTTTTTTAACCTGCTGTTAATTTTATGTAAATAATGAAATCGTGTATTTTTAGTTCATAGTGACAGTGCGCAGACGTATATATATAAACATTAACATATATGTTGTATGAGATTCGTACACTTTCATTATAATGTGTCATAATGGCACGCATGTTGTATGGGCATGAAGCAGCAGAGAGATCTTTGTTGATTGTTCCTGTCCGTTAATAATAATTGGATTTAATCATCTATCCTAATAATTAAGAGAGACATCGAAACCAGTAATATTAATAAATAATATTTATCCAATAACCCAGGAGGTGGTCTGGTGATTCATACAATTTCGACATTCAAGTATTCAATCTTTCTATTCTTTCCCATTAATCCTATGTTAATGCAATATAAAGGTCAACACATCCACTATGACAGCGCTTGTGTGGTACAACACTCGCACGACGTTCAAATTCCGTGACAGTTGTCTTTATGCCACTGTTTACTTTACCTAATATAATAAAGATAGTCAGTTTCGGACTATTGTTGCTATTGACTAATAAATTTGCATAATAGCCATAAATATCACATTAAAGATATCTTTAATATAGACTTTACTATTCTACGCATACAATCTTACGTCTTCTCTTTATCTATTATGAAAACAAAGAGTGGCGGAAATATTCACAGGTTATGTGATTTGTCGGAGTTGTATCACAGTAGTCCGTGCCAAAGGTAGCTACTATTACTATTACTATTACTATCGTAAATGTAGGACAACGGACGGGGTTTGCGGAAGTGATTACGCAACGATCAGAGATTGTTTGTACAATTAGTAATATTAAATCTATGTATAGTCTCGTGTCCAAAAAAAATTAGACGCAACTAAAGTAAATGTCTAAAGCTACTTTAGCACTATTTATAGAAAACATGCAGAAAAAGATTTTGCTTTTAAACAAGCATTCTTCTTTCTGTTGCAGTTGGAGTAATAAAAAAGATAATCGAATACTAATTAAACTATTTAAAGAGCAGTTACAGTTGTAGGTATTGCTAAAACATTGGCAACATTAATTTATGTAACAAAAAAAGTCGGAATAAAAACAAAGACTTTACTATTACAATTTAGTATTGGCATTCAAAACTAACTTTGAAGATCAGTAAAAATTTGCGGACTATTATTATTATATAACAGCAAAAGATACTTTATGTTAAATTTTGAGATTGGTCATAAATATTGTCGCGGTTGATGCTGAAATCGGCTGATGCTGAGATCCACATGAACGTTGCACATTGTTACAACATTTTACAAACGTCTTGCAAAAATCAGCATGACAATATTTTCATATCGCTTCCAATTTTGGATTAAAACTCATCATTTAAATGCATAATGTCCGAAGCAAAGCGCAATGTAAAAATATTTGATTCGCGTGCGTCTATTGGATCATGTGACTTTGCTCCAATTCCCCGTTTCCTTTCATATTTATACCATATTAAATATAAAAACAATTATGATCAAACTATACCAGCTGCCTGTTTTAGTCAGGGAAATGTTCCTAAGTTATTGACTGGTTAAGTAAACAGTCTTGATTTCAACTATTTAAAAAACATCTGGTTCCCATTTTGACAAATTTGTCGTATCTCTCATAGTAATAGGTATAATTACGCCAATGTCGCTAACATCATCAACACTTGAGGTGTCTGAGTTCTGCTTATAATTATAAAATTATTCTGTAGTTACTGGTGCTATGCACAATGCTATTATAATCAAAGATCAATCATCTTCACTTTTAACAACACCTCTTTTTTTGATATTTAGTCTCGAACTTGTTTAGGCTCAATACGAATTTTACTGCTGTCACACGCTACCGTAACCTTTTTCATAATAAATTATTGCAGTTAATTTTTCCCTGCGACGGCGTACCTTCAGAGTTGTATGCGTGTAACGAATAATTTTATTGCCACGTATAGGCATATAGTGAAGAAAACGCATTTTAGATTAATTCCCTAATGTATCTAGTACAACTCTCCGTACAGTATTTCCCCTCCTCACACACTATACCGTTATGCATTTTTGTATAATCATATGATATAGCATAAAATTTACATTAGGATTGCGACCCTTATAGTAATAGGGAGTTGTATATAATTGTCGGGCATCAAAGTCAGGTGACGATGACTACCCACTATGAGAAAAACTGGATTCGAACAAAGTGTCATCTCATATCATACCTTACGTTTTACTAATTAATCGCAGGCGTATTCAGAGACTCTTGAATACTCACTGCAGTGAACCTTTCCGGTAATATAATATTATTAGCTAGCGTCTAATCGCATTAATGAGCCCTGCTTCTGGGAAAGCGAGATTTAGATAACTTGCGGTGGTTCCATTATGATACTATCTTGGCAATCATCTGTGAGAAAAATACTAAATATGGAAGCCTATCTCAATGGTGGCTTTTACAATTACGAACAGTAGGTACTGCGAAGAACGAAATAACATAAAACACACGCAACATGTCATAGTAAATTCTATACAGTAGTTGTTCCTACAATTTTCATTCTGATCTCTCAGAAAGTGTGGCATGGGTACAATAGCAGGATAGTACGCATCCTTGTCGAAGACAACGAAGAGATACACCTTTTGAGGAAACCTTTAATCTTTCAAATATAGTTCAACATGAAGAAAGCTGTTTAATGACGTGCACAATTTCCATTTGAAGTATAACATGCAGAACCCTAATTTGTATTACTTCATCTTTTTTTGCCTTTATAATTGTTACGAAATGGCTTCTGAAGGTATGATAACACCGATGTACGACTTTCAAGCTTCAGCAAAAACTTTCTAGTTTACGCCGTCTTCTTCCACTCTTAGACTTGCAAGTTTACCTCGACTTTGCCATATCGCTCGCTCGTGAAGGCGCCCAGTTGATCCTCGAAGGCTCCAAAGCGCGATATGTATCTCAAGGTATGGTGGTCTCGAAATCTGACCCAACAGATCTGGTTACGGAAACGGACAAGAAAGTCGAAGAAGTTGTAAAGAAGAGACTGAAAGAAAGGTTTCCTCAACACAAGTGAGTATGCGGGAAGGGAGGAGGAGCAGGTGTTAGTTTTTTCTTTTGCTTGAGAATGTTTACAATTATCGACACGAGTTGTGTTTTTTTTTTAACATGCAATTCTGTTCAGATTTATTGGCGAGGAATCTGTATCAAATGGAGAAGTTCTTGTCTTAACAAACGAACCTACTTGGATTGTTGATCCTATAGGTAATTACATCTTTGGGTTAATTTGCGCGTACACACAAATAAATGAAACAGAATGTTGATTCATGAATTGTTAATTTAACTAGATGGTACAACCAACTTCGTACATGGGTAAAGACAATATAGGTTGTTTTATTCTCTCTCGCGGTTTGTTCTGTGATTTAGTTACTAACACGCCGGGTCAATTTTCAGTTTTCACTATGTTGCTATTTCCATTGCATTAACGATCAACAAGGAAACCGTCGTCGGCGTTGTTTATAATCCATTCCTAAACGAAGTGAGCAAGCATATATTCACGTTTTTGCTGTAATTTAAATCTAATACGTGGTTGACCATCATGTTCATTAGCTCTTCACCGCGTCAAAAAATTCTGGCGCATTTCTCAACCTTTCAACACGCCTTCCGCTCTCTCACCCTCACCCTCCACTCCCACTTCCTTCATCACTTTCCCATTGCCTTGTTCTGGCAGAATACGGCCATGATCGTACTCCACATGTTATCGATAAGAAAACCATGTCTATTTATAACATGTTAACTAGGCCAGGGGATAATAGATGGGGTGACAGCGGAAAGAAGGCCGGCCTGGTGCATGGAGTTAGGAGTCTTGGAAGTGGGGCATTAAATCTGTGCACGGTTGCCAAAGGGCAAGCGGACTTGTATTGGGAGGTTGGTCCTTGGGTGTGGTAAGTTGAGCTTATAATAGATGGAGAATCGACGAAAAATCCTCAACTTGTTTGTGTGCTCATCAACAGTCTCAACTGATCAAGGATTGCATGTTTTGTCAATACAATGTCACTTGCAGGGACGTAGCAGCAGCTACGTTGATTCTCGAAGAAGCTGGTGGCATCGTAGTTGATGCTTATGGTCCTGATGAAGGACCTGCGGACTTTCTCGGCAGGCGCTTTCTAGGGGTTCGGGCGGGATCACCTGTACCCGGAGATAAGACGGGCAGAGAAAGTCAATTGAGGCTTGCTAAGGAGATGTGGGATGTTGTCGAATTGGTTGAGGTTTCGAGAAAATAGAGGCTGGGCATTGATGGACATACAGTATAGAATTATTTATATTGCATTCATTGGCATACTGCATTTGTGTTTATTCCGATCGTGCTGCAAACAAAAGGATATTATGCAAACAGATTAGACTTCAGTGATCCATCTTTGATGTTCGTTAGCTGTCCAAGATAAAGCTTCACAAAAATAGAGGCTCTCTTCAACTATAAGTTTTGATTGACATCTGATGTTGCTCTTCCTGTCTACCAACATACCCAAAAGGTATATCCGCTTTGAGGTATAGATCTAAACATCGTCGGCTCTTCTGTATTTTTTCCAGTATGTCAGCCAGATATATTCTACGTAATCACCGAGGTTTGAGTGATTGTCTCTGTAGGATTTCAAACTTGAACACAGATCTGGTCCACTTGCTTGGGAAGTGTAAGCATATCGACACGATGTTCCTCAGTGGTTATTTATGAGTTAACCTTCATAAATCTTGTGCAGTAATTTTCTCCGCTAAATCGATACGCGTGTTTCGTGTTATCGTTTAAACGTGACAGCAACAAAGACGAATTGAAATAGATTACCTTGTGGCACACAACTTTTTACAATAGTAGTCTGAAGGAATGGATTGATAGCTTTAAACCGATACAGAATATATTGTTACTTGCATAATTATACGCACAATACATATTTTGAAAGTAAAAATCTTCCTATGTTTTACTAATACTTTCCACGTAGACGACGACTTTCAAGACGAAAGTAATTAGACGGAGAAAAATCCATAATTCCTTCGCTGAGTCAAGGAATAGCTGGCAGGTCACTTATTTTACTCTTCATTTTTTTCTCTTCATTTTTTTCTCGTTCATTTTTTTCTCGTTCATTTAGCTCAGCCGAATAACTTACATATAATTATGAGTATCTAAGAATCAACGAGAAAGTTAAAACCGAGCAACAAGCTAAGTGTCAAAGCCATTTATGCAGCAAAATTCACAGACGTCTGATAATAACCAAGTGTTGTGTCTGAGTTCAGGACCTGTCTCAGTTCAGAACCCAGTCACTCAGTCCAGAACTCAGTTGTCTCAGTCCAGAACCCAGACACTCAGTCCAGAACTCAGTTATCTCAGTCCAGAACTGAGACAGGTTCCCAACTGAGGTACAACATTATTATCATGATAGCCACCGCCAAACTAAAGCTATAATAAGCGTCAGGACAATCAGATCATGCAAAGCATCAATCGCATTATATCCTATTAAAGAAATAAAATATCATATCGTACCCAAAATGATTAACGACAATGACTTGTAATGGTTGTCAATTTGAATGTCAAGCCAGGGTTATTTAGAAAACTTGTTGTTTGTGGGTATTTCGGATGGAGCAATGGTAATAGTGCATATGGACAGTTTACGGGCACTTACCGTGACAGATTTATGTAAAGTTATAATAATCCAAGCTACTCTTTTGCTTACAGAATACAAACAGTGTTTGCCTCTTTGTCACTTGTCGAGACGTTATGAAATAATGACATGTTTTTGGTCAAGGTTAGGTGTGTGGTAATAGTAAGACAAATTACCAAACACAAATTTAGTTGTAAAGTTAGACTGTGGAAAGGGGGTTGTTTACGTACGCGTTAATACCTCAGGGGCACCCGCAGTATAAACAACTTTTCGTGTAAAATGAGAAATATATAGTATTATTACGTGCGGCCCAATCAAAAAGTTTTCCATCCCATATTTCGGAACATTTTCGCAACAAGCATAAATACCTGGGCTCCCTTCCATGGATGCAAACAAACAACTGTACATAGTCCCTTAGTCCTACTGGTTAGGACACTCTATCCTACTGGATAGGATACTCCATCTACATCCTACTGGCTAGGATACTCTACATCCTACTGGCTAGGATACTCCATCTACATCCTACTGGCTAGGATACTCCATCTACATCCTACTGGCTAGGATACTCCATCTACATCCTACTGGTTAGGATACTCTACATCCTACTGGCTAGGATAAAGTACGTGTTTGATATGCTGCCACCTCAGCTTGCAATCGAGGGATGTTTATGAACTTAGATGTCAGGCAAGCATTATTGAATACATATAATTTTTTGTAAAATCCTAATCGGTTGATCTTTGATCCCAGAGATGATTGATCCCGTTTAGGTTAAACCCACTTGATATGCTGCCACCTCAACGTGGTAAGTGGGTGGCAACGTTTGTTTACTATAATAAACGGCGAAGAGCAGCAAATTAACAATCTGCGACTTTTATGTGATGGCTTGTGAGTATGAGGACTAATTTTAAAATATTTTATTTATCATTATGAATTTTAATGAAATTACGAGTGTGCACTTTCCCTCTTGAACGGCGAAACAGTCACTCTAGGTCCAAGATACTAAGACACATACATGTACAGTTAAACTATATTGAACCTTATTATACCGAATTCCGTTTTACCGAAATGATTATTACTTTCTTTGAATTGCATTATCCATTTGCTGTAGTCAACCCGACCGTTTATCACATTCAACACAATGATTATTCACATATTTTGAGATAATTCCACCAAAGATACTTGGTTCTTCCACGTGGTGTGTAGTTTACACTCTGCTAAGCATTTTTATATTGAAGACTGAGATCAGTGGTGAATTTTTGAATATTTTCTGGGAAGCTAGAAAATTCATCAACATATGAATGTTCAAAATAAATTATTAATAGTGGTACAAATTCAGCATTTACATGTACAGTAAATATGATGGCACTTTATCTGCTGCACACTTCACAATTGAAATAAATTGTTCTGTTTGCCTTTCAAGTTGAGGTGTCAATTTGCAATTATGTTTGAATCAGATGCACCTTCGTGAACACAGCATGATGAAGAGTTTTGAGAGCAAGAATAATTGATGCAGCAACATTATAAACCATTGTTGGAGTTACTGATAAAGACAGAGAATGCAATAATTTTTCCTTTAACATCAAATTGCTCAACTCAAGCACGTGAGATCCAAAATCCAAAATCTCAACACACCTTTTTCTTTTCGTTGTTGTTAGAGTGTTGGCGCTTAACGGTATCGAAACTTTTGAATACAAGCTCGTTATCTTCATATTCGTTGAGAAGCATTCTCACAAAGTTAGCGAAGAATAGAAGATTTTTCTTCTCATTACGGTTGATTACATTTTTGAAACTTGCAGATTAACGCTTTGGGATACGAAATAATTTTTGTATGAAATAGAGTTCGCAAATTCGTTCTCCAATATGTACATTAATATCGACAGAGTAAAAATGTGTAAACAGTCAAACGGATAAAGATCGTCCATTACGGTTATAGCCAAGGATTTTAGAATAGCGAGAAACTCTATATAACAAAAACATGATTTTGACCCCAAATGACCAACCAACCATTTTCATTACTCATGACCTTATTAAAAAAGTCGGTATGCACATGCTGTGACTTTTCGAGCAGCCGAGAATAGTATTAAATATAAGTCATTAAGTTAATCTATTGACTTTTGCTATTAATTGCCTTTGGAGTAAATTTTCTCTTTAAGTTTTGTCAAATGCGGGATAATAATAATCATATTTTTTTAGCTTCCATGTTCGATTTTTTTCTTAATGGTACTTGCTAAACAAATTTCGAATAGAAATATAGATGTTTATAAAATCACTGCTATTAAAGCTTATTCATCATCCTTCTTATTGATCGATATACTGAAATCACGGTTATACGCCATTCATTTCATTCTCTTGTACATATGTTGTTCACATAACCCGCCACCCGTTCGTTTACGAGATAGCATGTTTTCTTTTTTTTCCAAAAATTGCCTAACGCATTTCAATATGCGTGTAAGAATGCGAGCATCGAAAAGGGACTTGGCTTTATCTGATCCTTGTCTTACCAAGAATACTACTTCTTTGTAAATCGGTAAGTTTTTTACTTACAAAATTTTTTCAAAACGTATGTGTAGACGCGAAACTATTTTCATCTAGTCTAAATGTTGTCCATGCGTGACAAAAGCGTCAATTGATAGCAGAAAAAGACCATAATCATAGTACAAATTTCTTCAAAGTTTCCGAGTGCGTAAAAATTATTGTTATTCCAGAAACGTACTTACTGTATATATTGACTCTAAGACTCTCTTGCAGTAATATGCCGGTCATCATTATTCTGGTCAGTCCAGCATCGTTTAGATTATCGACGACAAATTACTAGCAAATATTAAGAAAAGAAAAAGTCACCTTTGCGGATATCCAAAACACACAGCACATTCAAATTAGTCGTTTCTTGCCTGTTGAACCAAGTCGAGAGAGGAGGAGTTATTCACCGAAATAAAAACAAAAGTACACGCTGCGATTTTCGACAAGTGCCTTGCTGTTCATTTGCTAGAATCTGTGTCTTTTTTTTTTTTTACAGAATTGAGCCCGGGAGTAGAGATCGGAGAACAGCAGCCGCATAGAATGCTTGAATGGTTTGTATTTTCTATTATCCCGTCCTTGTTCATACAACAATGACGTCAAAATTTCACTTGTCTGATTCCGTTTGCATATGTTTGCATGTTCCAATTGTTGCTCCATTGTTCTCAATTTACCCCAGTGACTTTTCTTCTAATAGATTGTCATAGTCCATCTTAATTTAATTTAAACACGCATGAATGTATACAAAGAAGCACATAGCCACACAAATAATGCCTTCTGCTTACGCCACAAATGATATGCCGCACAGTTGTTTGTTTGCTGTACTGTCGGAGTTAATTTTGCAAGTATTATCTAATCCGTCAATTTTGTCGAAAAGCTTGGGGCAAGCTGATTTTTCAATTTTGGGATCGATCTTCTCTATTGTTAAATTTATGCCGTGTATATACGGTGTTATTATTATGCGCATTATTACACACATTATATTATACACATTGTCATATATTCACGCTCCGTATATACATTTGTTTGTATATTACATCAGTATATTCAAAGTTTATTTATTTTTTTTTTGCTTATATTTTATGTGTATCGTATCAAATACTGCTTGATATATATTTTTATCTTTATATTATAACTATAACTTTATAGTTATCTTTTTTTTAGCTGTTCTTAAGAAAAAAAGGAAGGGAATGAATGTGTTTTAAAATCGATGAAAAAAAACTACGTTCAAATTTATGTAAAAAATATTGATTTTGCAAAAAAAAAGAAATTATCTTTTTTTTTACGTGAAAAGTGAGGATGAGATTAACAAATCAAATCCTTTTCCAATGTCCATCTGATTTTGTTATGAGTTTTGTTTTTCTAAAAAAGAAAACAATTCCGAATTGTGAAATCGAATTTTTTTCAAAGTATTTCGTAGAGTATATATAATAGTATCGCAGAAATACTATCTCAATCGCTATTATTACAAACGTCGATATGAATAATAATAGCAGTATAAACGCCACCAAATACAAAAAAACTGGATAAACCCCAACACGACAAACGTCTTCGTCCTCAACACATTCTAAATTCTGTTACACGTCTCTGATAATGATAATCATCAAATCTTAATAAATCACGCGAATTCTGTCTTGCGTATGCAAAATCGTACTCCTTTAACCGATTGCTAGTCTCCACATCATCGAAAGAATGCTGTCTATAATAACAGTAATTGTCCGTATTGGGTCGATAAGAATATACCCGAACATTGTCGTGATTATATCCGCGAACATCTTCACAACCATGACTTGTCTGTTGCTGTTGTTGTCCGTTATGGCTATGCGTGTATCCATCCTTTATGCACAACTCTCGTCTACAATAATCCTCTTCTTCTTCACTAGTGCAATTACTCATATCATAATCCTCTCCAGGAGGCGTGGACATCGGCGTCGTCTGTCCATACGGTATATATGGCGGCGGAAGTATAATCGAGTTACTGACGCGACGATTAGAATTGATCGGTAATAGCGAACCCGAATTGTGTTGATTGTTGTTCGAATGGCTATTATGACTCGTAACGTTCGTACGGCTTGGATATTGCGGAGAGGGTAAAGCGTACGGGTATGTTGTCGGTAAGGGTGATGTTGAAATTGGTAGAGACAAGTGTGAGGAAGGCGGGGTGAATGATGGCGACGATGAAGGCGATGAAAACGACGATACTGATGATGGAGACGAAGAAAATGGAGATGGTGGAGATGGTGCAAATAAAGAGGAATTGGTAGAGCACGATGATGTTAGGTTGTATATGTTAACTGTATCGTTCGGTGGTTCATAGACATGAACTTTGTATCCTTGTTGGTTAGGTTGATCGACCTACATTAATGGAAAACATTAGGATTGAGAATGTGAGCGCGAGTAAAAAATTGAAATTCGTGTCAATAAATTCAAATCTATTAGCTGATTTTCGTTCTCACCTCGACTGGGTCGGGAATTTGTAATTCAGCTCTGTTGCTGGTATTAATAGCAATAACAAGCTCGTCTCGTGGAGAAGTGACATTCTCAACGTCGGATTGGTACACCACGGCTAGCCTGCGTGATAATCAACAGATCTATCATCAGTCACATGGTCATACAATACACGTGATTTTGGCAATTTTATCAAAATACTTCTTTACCTGCGTGTTTGTTCGTTTTCAAAAATAGCTTTTATATCTGATTCAATTGTTTCACTCGCTTTTTCTAGTTGCTGTTTCTGCAACCCGAGATCCGCATTGGCTTTTTTTAGTTCTTCGATTCGCTTTTTATAATCTGTTCGCAAACCCATTACGGATTGTTGTGGAGGGCCTCTGAGGAGCAGAAGAGAAATTGATTTGATTAATATATAGAGCTTAATAGCGAATAGGTAGCGAACTAGTTGATAATTAAGTTAATGGTATTGTAATTGTATTAAATAGTATATAGATATATAATGAAGGTTAACTATTGAAAAGTATGTAGCAATGAGTTGAAACGAAAGGCTTTTCCTTTCGTTCGCAACTCGTTCAATTATCTCCCCTTTACTCCTCCATCCCTTTTCCAATGCGACTCTACCCAAATAACTTACTTCCACCTGACATGATTCTTTGAATTCTTTTCGATTAAACAGATGCCTTCGAGTACATTAGTTATATCATAAATCCTTCGCTTCTGAACTTTTAATGCAGTGGCTGCTTTGTTGAGATCTAAATCGCCGTCTTTGGATTCTTTGAGTAGACAAACAAACTTTTTGGTAAGCAAGCCAAGCGAACTGTCATAACGGCATGAAGTTACGGTAGGAGGTGTCTGGCTGGGGCCTAAGTTGTGTGAGAGAAAGTTTGTTGGGAAAATGAGGAGAGATTAGCGATATAGTATTGTGGGAATGGATGATAAGGTGGATTGTCATGAGTTGTTTGTAAGGTATTCACAGAGAACGGGATATTTGAATGCGAATTGCGATTTCAGGAGCGGTTTCTTTTGTGCTTTGTTGGAGGAGGTTGGGGGTGGGAGAGGGGGGAAGCGGATGTCTGCATTCTAATTGAATTCTAACATAATGTGAAATTCTCAACATACCGTCCGGTGTCAAGTCAAGAGACTGCCTCTTGGTGTATGCCTTTCTGCGCATTTGTGGGTAGGTATTTGCGCGTACAGGAGCTGATAGCATGGCCTTTGCTACTTCTCGCCTTATATTCGTTCTGTGGTCTTTACTCATTATTCGTAGGTATGATCGTCACTAAGGGTTATAGGGTTCAGTCTTGCAAAGAGCAGCAGTACGAATTCTAAGACGAATTGCAACGTTCTCGTTACCAAGAGCAACCTTGTAAGAACGAACAAAGAGCAGAAAGGAATCAACGCTAATTTTATTGTGGTTGTAATCCTACTATTCACGTTACAATTAAATAAGGTTTGTTTCTCCGAATATACACATCCAAATAAAAAGTACATATTGGCTTTATTGAATATGAAATATAAATAGAAGTTAGAGTAAAAATAAACAATGATTATGTGCGATTATGTTTGATTATATTAATTATTATATTAATTAAAATCATTGTTTGAAAATGTGATAATAGCACAAAGTAATCACCAAGCGGACAACAAAGTCGGGTTGGGGGTGTTACTGTGACATCTTTGTCTTAATAAATAAATAAACACAGTTTATTTGACGTTCACATATCATTATTAGTCGTTGTCAAAAAGATGAGTAGCATTGTACAAAGTGATTAAAGGGAAATAAACAATGGATGATCAAGCGTTGTTTCAACAAGGAAGTAGCTGGATATGGAATGACGTGATGAAAAAGATGGGAAGAAACGGAAGAGAGGGAAGAAAAGTGGTGGATGGGAAGTGGTGGATGGGAAAGAAAGAAAGAAAGGGAAATAGAAACGTGATATCACCGGAAATGGCGATTGTATTATAAAAAAATAAATAAGTAAAGTTTGCCTGAATTTACTGGAATGATTCCTTAATAAGCAAATAGGTCATATGAGAAGAGTTAGGATGGGGGTGTGGGGGATGGGGGTGGGGGAGGAGGCGGCGGATGAGGGAACAATACTGGCTGAAGCGGGGAATAGGCTAAAAAGTGAAATTTGGAAATAATTATGTAATTAATCTGGATATAATTATTTTACCTGGGACTTGAAAGATACAATTAAAGTGTAATACATGTAAGGTATAACATATAAAAGTCAATTGAGGCGGAAAAGAGAAAATTATCAATCTATAAAATCATATCTATTTATCAGTCATATCTATACATCATTGTATAAGTGCAGAATAAATAAATAAGTAGGAAATAATTAATGGTTAGAATAACACTCTAATTAATAATAATGTTAACCATTAATAGCAATAATAATAACAGCTGAATAATTATAACAATTATAATTATGATTATAAAAACAGTAGTAATTACGATAATAATAAGAATAAGGAATAATTACGATTATGGGAATACGATAAAATTTATTATCATATCTACCTAAAATCTCATTAACTAATAAAGCACCATCGTTATTTATTCAGCATGCCATAATATCTAATCATACATAGTATTTTTGTTACCTACAATTGTCCCTCGTTCTGTTTCAACTTGTTCATGGGACATTCTCCGTTACCCAAGCCACAATTGTTATACGTTAACCAAATACCACACATTGCTTTTCACTAATTCACAGTTCTATGAGCACTAGTATGGTAAAGACCATCAACCAGCGTAAATGGAACGTGTTGCTCAATATGCACACTTGCATGCGTATATATCAATAAAACGTATCATCATCACATACCATATCGATACATGTTCGTCATTGTCATAATAATCATTATCTCATAACTATCATCATCGTCGTCGTCGTCATCACTCGTCAATCCGTTGCTTCATTTCTAGTATACCACTTTTTATTTTTCAATTCTTTTTGATAATGTCTAAGCTTGTTATTTTCTCCATTTTTTCCAACGTTTGTTCTGTTAACCATTACGCAAAAGCGAAAAAAAAAAAAAGATTTCTACGACTGCACAAACAAAACAATCTGTGTTACTAGACATTACTGTTTTAGCATGTTCGGTATTATGTAGGGTCCAAACCGTTTCTTTGTCTGAGAGAGAATAATAAGCGGCATGAATATGAAGTTGGGGGCTGAGTTTTTTTTTTCTTTGCTTTTACTTTTCTTCACTTTCATTCGTCAGTTTTTTCTTATTTGGCGATAGATGCAATCGGTGTTGTGCAATATGAAGTTTGGTGAGGTTAAAGAAGTTGTACTCCCCCTTCAATATGTGGCTATATTCAGACAAAGTACGTCATTTTTTTATATACCCTTGACCAGTTTTCTGTGAAGGGGTCTGTGTTATTAGCTTGTCGTTGACGATAATGGCATGACCTACGGTCCAGTCACACATAGTTAATGATTATATGTATAAAAACTGTGTCTAATATGTCATCGCTTTCGTATGCCATATTTCATTATACATATTTGTTGTTTCATGCTCGTTATGTGTGGTCTGTCTAATGCATCTAACTTACCCTGTCCCAGCTCCTCTTAAACAATGGTTTTGCCTTTCCATTTGTCTTTCCTGTCTTGCTTTTTTTTTTTTTACAGCCCAACCTTTGGCGTTTGCTAAGCACGCCAAGTGCAAGAGAATGAAAAGGCAGCAAACAAAAAAAATATATGTATCGACAATAATTATAATGGGGTCATTTGACATACCGTTTATTCTATCTTAGAAACTTTACAACAAACAATCCCCAAACTAATGTCTGTTCAATGGGGTTGCATACATAAACATTCCTTTTTTTATTTCTCTTTATCTTTCAAGGAATTGTCACCACGTTTTTATCGCATACCACAATCACACCCATTATTCTTCTTGTTCGCCGTTCCGCCCATCTCTCGTTACCCATTGCCAAATGAAAGAGTTTTAGGAAACAGGGCGAATTCTGCAGAGCGAGAAAAATCTGCACGAAGTCAATCTAAACTAATATGCGAGGCTCCATATTCAGGATTCCCCGAGATCATCTGAACATGTAGCGAATTTAGCACAGCGGTTATGTTATGCGTGATAACGTCGTTTTGCGATATAGAGAGAGATAAAGCGAAATTGTTCCGTTGTGTGAATATAATGTGTGTTTGTTATCTGGTTTATCTCTCGGTCCGATGGTCGTCTGTCGGAACTTGCAAGTAGAAATGTCAGCCAAAAATGCCCTGTGCGTTCTAGTCAATAAACGAATATATTTAATGCAAATAGCACATAAGACATAATTACATAATACACACGGATATATATTGCCCTTATGGTATATTAGGTTTATCACATTTACACTTGGCCTAAACTTCGGAGAAATTCTATTGATCATACCGGTAATTATGATTATTTATTTGTCACCAGAATGCAACCTATTAAGTAATCACATGTCAACTAATCATTATGTCACGTGATATAAAACAATGGGTCAAGCAATTCATGTACCACAACAGCGAGGAAGCATCAGATGCATGTGGCTATCCATTAACCTTTACTAATAACAAGAGTAGAAACACGGATAGCAGCAGCGATGCACAACATGACCAGTTTTCAGATGATGAATAATAGTGAATCCATCCTCATTGAGATATTTGCCGACTGCCGTAACTGCATAGGATCATATCGGCAGCGATTAAGATGATCGACTGATTGATGATGACGATAAGGTTGAGGAGAATAAAATTAGGATAAACAAATTATTATTATACTTTCCATAATTGTTATTAACTGATTAATACCATTATTATTATTTTGCGTCGATTGCCATAGACTTTCTGAAAATTTTATTATACAATCACCAAGTATACATGTCTATCGTCCTACAATAAAAAAATAATATACATAGACAAGCATTCCCGAAACAATTTTTCATCCAAATAACACATGGATTCGACCTCCAAACCTGCAAGGAACAATACGTAAATACATCGAGCATTAATACAATATGCACGCTTTGACGATAATGTCATCTCAACAACCCCCTTATTACATTACATAAACATTTACCTCACGTTCTTACTCGAATGAACTGCAGCAATTATGAAATCATCGACCCCATCTCCGTCTACGTCTATTTCAACCATTTTACTTCCGAATTTCGATCTATTCTCACTAGTGGTTAGGCATTCTTCAGCACCAGGAATGAGGAGACCAGTATTCTGATTAAAAGAATACTTGTAGATCTTGCCAGATTCTAAAAGCGAGACAATTAGCATACAAAACTCTGTATATAGATCTAAATCAAACGACCGTATCCCCTAAACTCACTTCACACTTATGTTCATCTCTATCCACCCAATTTCCCATTCTCCCAAAACTCACCCCAAAGCGCAAAAGGCTCAGATACCCAAATTGTTCCCTTTCCGTTCGCATGCACTGCACTTCCAAAGTGTGATGCGCTTTCTGATCCGTAAAGTAACGCGTACATTCCCTCCCCAAGTCGTAAGTCAGATACCAATGAATCATTGCGCAGAGCGGTGAAATCGATAATGCGTAATGCTCCGGCCTGCCAAAACTTTAATCGAGGTGGAAAGGCTAGTTGGTGGGTCTTTGATGGATGGCAAATAAATTGAAAAGAAGATTCTATGTTAGACTTTTACTATTATATAACCTGTAGAGTATGGAACGCTCAAAAGGAAATGCAATAGCCGCTACTGATTACAAAGGGTATTACAAAAAAGTGCATACCTCGGATCCAGATGACACTGCTAATAACATTTTTCCATCACCACGAAAGTCTCCCGCCAAAATTGCACTGTGAAAATAAGAGATATAAACGTGAGTTTGCCTATTCTTCACCATGAATATGAGCCACTTAACATTCACTATAGTCTCGTCAAACTCAGCGTGTTATAGGAATCTAAATTTACCTTCCCAAACCTTGGAACTTTTCAGTCCCACTTAGATCAAAAGTCTTCCTTATCACTAATTCGGGCATTGGCAACATTTGATCTCCCTGTTTTTCTCTTGTGGTTATTTCATATCCATACAGCTTTCCTGCCATCGGTATCCTATTATTTCCGTATCCCCGTGCACTCACAATTAATGTAGCTTTTGCGGAATCGGCATGATTCACAAGCTCTATTACCGAACCGAATAATTCTCGTTTTCGTTTTAATGGAGATAAGAGGACATGGTCTGCTTCCGACAGTGGAAGAATGCCACTATGATTGCGCGATGAGAGAATGAAGAACACGGCACCGACCTTTTATGAAATAAAAAATTTGGCAAATTAAGTACAGGGACTTTTTGTGCTCGAAACCTCAGTTCAATCCCCCAAATTTTTTCAAGGTCTCAATTTTTTCATCAACCGTATCTATCGTTTCTGCTCAAATCCTACCTGTTCAGTCACGCCACGGATACGAAGACTGCAGAATGGACATCCAATGATCAAATCCTTTTTTCCATCGCCGTCAATATCCCCAGCAACCAAGGCTTGGCCGAGTTGTTCAATTTTAAGTCCCAATGAAACACGAGCATCTCCAGGTTGGATTGTGATATTGGGAGTGGTGGAAAGGCCAGATCCGGCGTGGCCAAAATAAACGTATATGCGGCCAGAATAGATATCTGGGGGAGGTGGATGATATGTATGTTCTGGTTCTTCCGACCAGTCTGTCGCATTACCAGCTCCTGGAGCTGATATGACCAAATCATCTACTCCGTCACCGTTCAAATCTACTACCGCACATGACCAACCGAACCGTGCCTGTGCGGATTGCTCGGGATTGGTAAGTGTGTGGTTGGCTAATGCAGCGACGTCTGCTGTTGTGTGGACATTGGAGCGACGTAATTGAGAGGTCTCGCCGTCTAAAATGAAAACTCTACCAATATGTAGAGCAGCCGAGGATTGCGATGTATAGTACGGAGCAGTCAAGACTGTGATGGAGAATAGGAATGGGAAAGAAGCGTGCAAAGTATTATCAACACAATTCCTTGATTAACAAAACACCCCAAGACGTTATTTTCAGCAAAAACAAACGCTAACATTTTCTAACATTCTCTCCTCAATTCCTTTCATTCGCCTTTCACTAAACCACACGAAAAAAAAAGATACTCACCTAAATCTTTAAACCCGTCGTTATTAAAATCTCCAACACACATCGCATGGCCTAAACTAGCATATGGTTGCGATATATCCAACGTTATGGATGTCTTCCGAGCTTCCTTCACCGGATAACAGATGGCAGGCAATCCAGTTGTATTTGATGGGGATTCAGGAGACACGGACACGGAAGTTTGAAAAGGCGAGGTTTGAACCGAAAGGGACAACGGCCGTTGATCTCTACTATTAGAATGCGATTTGTTTCCAATGATGGCCCGTCTTATGATAGTGTGTATTTTTTCAAGCTCGTCCTCGGTTATATCCGTGATCTCGTCTGTAGTCCTATTTCTCCTGTCTTCCAAGTAAAATCTCGCAACTCCTCTCTCGTCCATACTACTCTTCACTCGCAACCCGATTACGTCTAACATTTCTGCAGCGTCTGTTCTCATTATCTTTCCAAAGTCGATATATTCGTCATCTGAGGTGTGCGTGTCGGTCTGTTCATTCTCGTCATCTTTTCTGGCTCTGGCCTTTTCGCTTAATCTACGTCGCTCAGCCTGATCAATAGTCGAATACTGTGCAAAAACCCTACACGGAAAGAACTCATTGGCTCCTTCCTCGAGCCATTTAGCAAGAGCGTACCAGCATTCGTGTGTGTTTGCGGCCATTTCGTTGAGTCCGCCACGGTAATATGACGTGAATTGTTCGATTAAAAACGGGGACTAGTATAAACAGGCGGGGCGGAAATGATTAATTGTTTTTGAATGATTAAGCGTTTTTAAAAATCAAGACAGGAGGATTTGGATTTTTTGATCCTGCATACCTGTTGGCCATACACAGCGAAAAAGTGTTTGCCGAGTCTCTACCGAATATTACATGGGGGTAAATAAAAACTAATTAATATTTTCTTGCGCAAGTTGTAAATAATATTTCTATTTCATTATCGATCTAGTCTCGTACTTCAAAGCTACATACCTTGTTAGCCTGTTGAGCCGTAAATGCCTTTTGAATGCAATAACTCATCTCCTCTGGACGCGCTTGTAAACCCATCTTGGCGTATATCTCTTTGATATCTGACAATGGCGCCTCCCAAATATCCTAATAGGAGAAAATTACTTTGATGAGACAATAATATACAGAGAGAAAAAGATGATGGAAAGAGATTCCAGATCAAGTTATATAGCATTATGTAATTGCAACGTCTACGGAACTGTGATTAAGATGTTTCATATCAGACAAATCGAAATACTGCATTCAACCCACGGTCCTACGTCTCATTCTGGTTTTTTCTCCTTTCAATACGTTAACTCATACCAATAAATAGTCCAACTTGGACATATGTGAAAGCGTAAATTCTCCTCCATTATCAGCTACTGTGTGTGCCTTTGCGTAGTCGCCTCCGAAGTTAATATCAGCCATAACTCTAATAAATCCATTGCGCATCCTAAGACTATGCCACGAGACGTCAGCTACATCATGAGAGGTGATCGCAAAGAGGAATGCAATTATCGACTTTTTTTTTAAAAAAAAAAGAGAATGAAATGAAAATAAGTGTCATGGGGAGAATGTAGGCATGTGTTTCAGGGCCATGTCAAGCGTTATTATTGTCTACCTGCGCTGTCTGTTCATCGGTCCATGGTATAGGGTACCTTTCTCGTATGTAATTGACGCCCGCACGTAAAAATTCCGGCCAGTGTGCTTTTTGAAAAGTAAGGACGATATGTTACTCTTTGTGCTACTCGTCTCATTTGATTACTTTCAGTACGGAATCCGATCTTAATTTGCTATATCTTTATGGCCCCCACGCGATATACCTGCTTCTGACTGTTCAGGATTTTCCAGACAGTCATATCCCCTAAACGAACGCAAAGTTACAAAACTGACGTTTGCATAGTATACAAGACAATGATTTTATATTAATGCTAAAGTACCAGTCAGGAAAGAATGAACCGGTCTAAAGTGAAGCGTTCGAGAGTGCGTTAGCATTAATGTCACGCTGTTAGGAACTACCATTTAACTTCGTATCATTATCTCATATTGCCCAGTAATTTGCCTACGGTGTCTCACCTGTACGAATGTCGGGTACTCTCGTATAAAGTTGGAGTATTTTTCATATTCTGTAATTGCTGGACTAAAACTTGACAGTGCGCGCACGGTAACTTCGTTGTGAACGCTCATGCCACACCCAGAAACAGCCGTAGTTATTTCCGCGATGAGGAGACACGTAATAAGTGCTCTCTTCGCCATTTTAGAAACAAAATTTCCGGCAAAGAGGTTCAGAAAGTCGAGGGGCAAATGCATGTGAGTTAAATAATTGAAAGTTGAAACGATTTAGTCACTTCTATTTATATTCTAGCTTCGAATGCATCTATTATGCGGAATGGTAAGGGTTAACCGTTATTGTTCATGGAAATCTGTATTCAAAAATCAGTGGTGACTTTTCAGTCTTGACAAGTCTATTCCCTCGATTTGCGTGTGTTCGTGTCTTATTTGGGTGAGAGCGTGCGAAAGTTACGCAAATGGAGAGAATGTAAGTTGTGAATTGCATTTCAAAAGAACAGGATGAACAATAAGATAAGAATAATCGTGGAATTGATTTGCTCATAGTAGTATGGGGTTGTTCTGCGATAAAGTGAACACAAAAAGGGATGACAGGCCAAATTCTAGCTGTATCAGTATGCAATATTCAAATAAAGGGAAATGTTTCTGTAACAACCGGTTTGCACTACTTTTTTTATTTGCTCCTGATCAAGTTTTTTAAGAGGGCTCATTTGTATTTTTGGCAACCGGTTGACTTTGGGAAAACCAACATATAAACAGTTGAATTTATTAGGTCCTTCGTGTCACAAAAATAATAAAAAGTCAGGGACAATGTTTTATAGTGTTAGTAACTCAACAAACCCTTTTCTGGTTAGCAAGGAATCTGTATTAAATTTTGTAAGAATGAGAAATTAAGAGAACATACGTCCATATACTAATTCGCCACGGTGACGGTGGCGTAACCTAGCCACTTTGGCAAAGCCCGCCTGTGGTCAATATCATATGCTGGAAAAGAATTCATTCTTGACAGTTACTTTTTATGTCCTTTATTTTTTAAAAAACAAATTAATGAATCAATGATACATTTTCAGCTGAAAACTTCAGCCAATGTAAACATAGATAATAGTGCTTCAAAGAACTAAATAATAAAATGACTGATGTTTTATTTGGAATGTAACAAATAGAACCCATGCAGTTTCGTACAGCCCCCATTCTATTACTGACAGGTAATTAATTAAGATCTGATAATTGCAGAACAATATTAATATATTAATAACATATAAATATCAATAACACGATTTACAGATTTCTTTAATTAAGCAGACGTTTGCCAAGATTAATTATAATTATCACTATCAGATATTCTGAGGATTGCAATGCCTTTGTTCACATTTTCTTGGTGGTTCCAAGAATAGTCCAGCTCAGGTTTCTGGCAAGTAAGTTTTATGTTCGTTCGAGGAATTGTTTGAACTATCCTTCTCGTCTTTTAAAAGACCAGGACAAATTTGTTAAAATCTTAGTGCCTGACAAAGGGATGCTTTACTATTACTTCTCTATTATTACTATATTTATACCCTCTTCCTCAATATTTTGATGTTCCATAATTTATCCTCGAATAAAATGAATAGTAAGGCTAGTACTTGTTCACTGGTAAGTGATATCTTTGATGCTGTAATCGCAGGAAGCTCTCGTAAGTATTATTATGAAAGTCCAATATTTTTACATCAGATAAAATATTACTAGAATATTTCCAATTCTAATGCTGAATCTGGTTGCATATCTTTTCATTTTTCTTAAAGTCAATTACAGTTTTTTTGGGCAAGCAAGACATATGTAAGCTGTTGTTAAAATGCAACATGATACTTAACATGTATTTCTTCTGACAATGCTGCTGCGTCAATTATGCTAGGAATATAAACTAGAAAATCGTCTTTGGAACAAGTTACAGCTATGAAACAATTGAAATGCTGTCTAGCGTTGGGTGGGAATGCTGAGGTGTTATACATACTACGGCCAAGAATTATAAGTAATAATTTCTTGTGATACATATTGTCGTACTATTTAAATTTGTATCTTTTGGCAGGAATGAAGACACTCGTTATGGTTATGCAAATATAACCTAGGGTACGTCGTCAATCAGCAAACGCGCAATAAATCGCTTAACGACCTATACGGTATAATTATGTTACATATAATTCTAACATTAAGACACTTGACGGATGTGGCACAATCATAAGCTCAGGCTGTACACGACGTAAATACACTATCTACTGGAGAATTTGCAAAAGAGGTCAATTATTATCGGGGAAACAAAATTCCAAGTATAAAAGGGTAGGTCTATATATGCATGTAATTTTAATTTGAGACGGACGGCTAAGCATTTTGTATATGGTCTGTATCACATATTTAGAACGTGGCTTATTACTGTATTTTAGACGATTGTATAAAAATGATTGATTAGAATAAATGCCGCAAGACTTTTGTAACAACTTACTCTGATCATTCATGAGTGACTCACCTTTATATGCGCCGAACGACTCGTCGTTGCAAGCTACATCGAAACGGAAAATTCCATATCCAGTTATTCCATCACCTGATGCTACATCGAATGAACAACGTCCGATGGAATATAAAACAAACAAGACGCTAACAGGCAAAAAAAACAAAGCAAAACGGTTTCGGATATTGTTTTGTTTCTTGGCCGGCATTTACGTGTATACTTTTGCTGTGGCCGCTTATATCATATACCTATATTGGAGCTTTGTGAGTATGTTTATACACAAAATGACCAACCGATGTTCTGGAATAACAAATTCGAAATTACTACATTATAATAATTACAGCCTCAACGTGACTTGATACTAGAAAGTATGAAGCCATTCGTGGTTGGATTTAGCATAGAGATGGTGTACAGATTATTCGAGATAGCGCGAATTGTGTATTGGACACGCGGAAGAGTTAATGTCACATTGGGCATTGCCATGATGTTCGGTACGTTATAAGTAGAAACAAGTAATTTCTGCAAAACCAGCCATTCCCCCATAACAGATTTAACTATTTGATAGGTAAGAAAGACTTGTACGTAGCGTTTGGAAAGAAGCTAAAATTTTATCAATATTTATACATGCACTATCTCAGTGACATGATATTTTGCGCATTCTGTGGCTGTTCCATAGCAGCTATCATCGCTCTTCCAGGCGCTGTATCTGCTACATTTAAGATATGGTTCATTCAACTGATGGTTCTCTTTACGATTCACCTTGTGCGTCAGACACTTATGTATTTGCTGCCTGATGGCTGGTGTCAGGAATGTCAATGTAATTGTAGAGATGGCAGTTGTTATGACTGTAGTTGTGGTGACTGCAGTGACTGTGGTTGCTGTGACGACTGTGACGACTGTGACGACTGTGTATGTTGTAGTGATTGCGATTCTGATGATGGCGATTTTACTTGTGATGACTTGTGTGACTTGTGTGAATTGTGTGTATGGATTGATTACTTGTGTGACTGGTGTGGCTTTGTTTGTAATAACTGTGGTTGCAATTTTGATTGTGATAATTGCGATTGTGATTGCGATTGCAATTGCTGCGATTGCGATTGTGATTGTGATTGCGATTGCGGTGATTGCGGTGATTGCGGTGATTGCATTTGATTGGGACGGTTTACTTTACCGCGAGTAATGTCTGTCAGTTTATGTCAAATTCTTTAATTAAATAAACGTCATTTTATACAATTTTTTCTGAAACTCTCGCAATAATTCATATTATTTCTAGTATGTAATAATAAATTATAATAACACAAAAGGTTCAAGTAATAAAATGAATTCGAACTGGCACAAAAAGATGGCAGGTTTTTGATACTGCTAGCTTTATAAACACGTGCGTGTGTCATATTCTGCGATGGCTGCGGAATATCATGACGCGACTATCACCGTTTTTTTCTTTTCAGTGTGCATGAAACAGATTGGGTTTGAATTATTCGATCAATAATTGTTTGCATGCAAAAGTAATCAATCTGTCTTCTGAATTTGTCTTGTGGAGAATGAACGAAATGCGTCCTATAAGAGATTTAGAAGCGTCACGACATTCTTAGGAAAGTACTAATAAAAAACAATTTCATTATCTTGCTTTCCGTGATGCATTCGCGCGCACGCTCCGTAGTCGTAGTGCAGCTGGGAGAAGCCGCCCATTATCAGCACGTGGAGCATAGTAATAGTAGTTGTCCCGGTTATAAGAAGGAGTTTTATTAGTCGCATTAAATATCTTATTTCATTCTAAACGTCTGTATTATAAGAGCGCGTTTACATGACGTCACGCGTAAACAATTTATTAATACGTTTGTCTAATTATAAAAAAAATTTAGTTATTAGTTTACAATACTAATACTATGACATTAAAATAACGCGCAAGTCACATGAAACTTTATTAAACAGGTGTGCAAGAGTAACAGGGAAGGATTATACTAAATAAAAGGTAAACGGCATTGTAAATGTATGAACTGGTCCATAAATTCGATAAATATTTTAATCATTCAATTACCTCTGTTCCATGATTTGTCTATAAATGGATTATGCGTATCTCCAAATCGAATTCGCCGATATTCCAAGTAATCTTTACGTAGCTGATCGACAGCTTCATGGAGAGATGCTATTTTCCCCGTTACAACCATAAAGCTGTCGTGTTGGAAACGCAACGTATCTGAAATAGCTAGTGAAAATATAAACCGGATAAATAAAGACAAACGGGTTCAGTAAAACCATTTAACCGTTTTGACGTACCATTTTTAAGCGCTTGTTCGTTTGTTGCTTGGGTAACTGCAGACATGTGTCGTTCAAGTTCCTAAAATTGAAACCCAAATTCTGTCAGTCCGTACTTTCTCCATGATAAAATTTATAATTATTGATGCATACTTGTATATATTCATTGTACTGATCAAGCCTTTCCTTTAGAGATATGATGAGATCTTGGAAATATCTAAAATGCAAAAGCACATTGATTAACAATGTTTGGATGGTATTTCTTAGATCACGTGACCACTTACTTGAGTGCTCCATGTCCAGAGACTTGATGGTATCTATCATCCTTCTCCATGGACTCGCTCACTCTAACTGCATGATCCATATATACTCGTTGTCTTTCAAAGTTCTGCAAAAGATCCTTTACAACTCGTTCATCCGTCTCTAAATGGTTTCTCAGCCTTATTACTTTCTATTCAAATGTTAACATATTTATCTTCCATATCATATCAGTCATTATAACGGAGCGTAAAAAATTGACGCTTACTGTTGTTACTTGATGGACTTGCTTTGCTATTTCCTCATGTCTAGCTTTTGCGTCTGGCAGCAGAGTTGTTTTTATTGTTCCTGACACTTTTTTCTGTTGTTCTATATAATTTCTATCATACCTTCGTTAAGGAATATGAAAGAAAAAAGACTAACAAAAAGGCGCAACATATCTGCTTGGAGCATTGGATATGCCAATTCAAAGGATACTCAACAGTCAAGAAATGCTTTTTTACATCTTCGGGCAAGTCTATGAATTTTGTTGCTCGCGTAATGGATTCAAGTCCAGTAACCTGCTGTGTAGCAGTTGTGCTATAATCAATGAACCTTGATTAATTTACCAGTTTTCCGATGTTTAATACAGAAAATCCTATTTAAACTCAACGTACCCTCCCAGGTTTCCGCCTAAGGTAAATCCAGATCCAGTCGGCGCATGAGACGCTGAATACAAACCAGACGAAAATCCTGATTGGCCACCAAAATTCCCACTCAACCCTCCACCTAGTCCTCCCAATCCCGTTGACAATTGCGGCGGCTCTACAAATGTAAGAATGGTCAGCGACTGGGCAATAAGTTCTTTGGTCAACGGAAATAATATTGCAATGAGCTAGTCGAGTTATTTACTGTTGCAAAATACTTACTGTTTCCTCCCAAAGAAAATCCAGTAGATAACGATCCTTGTGATTGTCCTCCAAATGTTCCAAGGCCACCTAACCCTACCCCAGTAGTACTCGCACCAAACAATCCTCCTGGCTTTGAAGTACTGCCTAAAGCAAAAGCAGTGTTACTAGTGGTGGTACTCGACCATCCACCGAACGACGGTGTCGCGCTTGTTTGCGTGTTAGTGCTCGCGCCGAAGCCAAAGGTGAGGGGCTTTGATGTCTGACCGAACATGATCTCTGTGGAAAGCCTATAGAAGGTATTGTTGTGGAGTACTCGGGGTAGAGAACGGTGAATGAACAGGGAAAAAGGATCTACGTGTACGCTTTAGCTTTTTGACCCTTTTTTTGAGTAGTTCCACGTGGTTTGCAATGTCGAAAATTTTTTTCCGTCTTTGTTCAATTTGCTAAAACTTTACAATGGCATATCAACAAACAAAATAAATCACGCATGTACTGTATCTTGTTTACCCCAGACTTTACAAGGCATTCAATCATCTAGCATTAATGGTTCTGTGTAACCCAGTTCTCTGTACAACGCTGTAATTGTGAATTAGTCAAAGAGGGTGATGTTTCCCTGTTAATCCCTTTTCTGATTTAGTTCAATAGTAAGTTCAGGATCCGTTAGTTTTTCGTTTGTGAAACCGCTCCAGCACCTCTACTGCACCACAACAGCACCCTTCTGAGACGAACAATGCACAAACATGCGAAGAGGAGAACAGCATCCTCACGGCACCCCCAGGACACCTTGTGAGTCCACCAATGCGCGAGATAAAATGAAAACAGTAAATTTGCCGACCTCCTTCAGTAGTAAAGTTTATATTCACTTTCCTTCATTACTGTCAAGGAATTTTCTTAGAAAGACGTTAAATCGTTTTCTCCAGATCGAATTTTAATCTCAAGAGAACCGTAGCAATTAGCGACACAGAAAAGCGTCAAGCTCTCAAGAGACCAGGAAATGACTACTTTAGAACTAGCGTGTCCTGATCTCTAAAAGCACAGTGGTGAAAATAAAGGCGTGTGAATCGCGTCAAAAATTTTCAAAGGCAAGCATCATCACATCTGCTAAACCATATTTTGTTTTGTTTGGTTTTGTTGCAGCAGAATAGTATTGCATGGTCATGTTTTTTATATATAAGAAAAATTAATTTTTGGATCATGAAATTTGGGGTAGACAGTTTGACTAGGTGAGCTAAAAAATTCCATTCTACATGTGTGTCATGCTCAAACTTTGGATCGAGTAACAAGTTGGTGAAACTCATGCATTCTGCCGTTCGTGAATAGACATAGAAGAGGATAATAGAATTTAGGGGGTTATCTAACAGTAATCGCAGTAACGAAGACTTTAATAAAAATCTTATAATTATGTGTTATTATGTAATAAACTGTTTGTGGGATGTTGCTAATATTGGGTGCTCATTTACGAGAGGATACGGTATTTTGTAAATAAACAAGGATGCGTATTATTGATAACAAACGCGTCTTAATTTTAATTAATATCTTTGTCAGTAAATGTATTTAAGTAATAAATATCGCGATTAGTTCCGTTGTTCTTTCTCTTATCCTTTGCAATCATGGTTGACTCGAGACTTGAACTCCAACGACAGACAATTGGCCTAATGGCGTCCAATGTCCAAAGGAAATGCATAAAAAGACCAACATGCCTGTTTTTAAACAGCTGTGAGATACAGGAACTAAAAAGTAACGAACGTCATTCCAAGGTTACACGAACTATCGCTTGGACAGAAAACGCAGCGCTGCCATTCGGCGACATATGAAGAGAGAAAAAAAGGAATACGAGAGTTTCTATACCTCTTGCAACGCCAATGCTAATTAGTCGGCATATTGAGCTACGAAACGCTTGGGCACTAATCACCATAGGGGCAATTGGTTGTGCATCATGAGACCATGCACGGATGGTGTTGCTAAACATCTGGAGTGTTGTTTCATC